GACCGGGCGCTCCTCGTGTGCGGCACCGGGCTGGGCGTGGCCATCGCGGCCAACAAGGTCAAGGGGATCCGCGCGGTGACGGCCCACGACAGCTTCAGCGTGGAGCGCAGCGTCAAGAGCAACAACGCGCAGGTGCTGTGCTTCGGCGAGCGCGTCGTCGGCATCGAGCTGGCGAGGAAGCTGGCTAAGGAGTGGCTGGACCACGAGTTCGACCCGGCCAGCGCGAGCGCCAAGAAGGTGGAGGAGATTTGCCAGCTGGAGGAGGAGGCTTGATTGGATGATTACGATGGCTGTAGAAAATAGAATAATGGCGCTAGCATCTGTTGTACCTGCTACGCCCGTGTTTGTCTGCCTGTCTGGAGAGGCTGCTCGTGATGCTGGTGACAATGTTTTGGTTCCTGGTCGGAGGTTTCGCCGATGGATGTCGCTGGACATTCTGGGCTGCTCCTGCCGTATTTTGGCTTGCACCACTATGATGATAGATACCAGTTAAGTCATAGTAATTCACACACAACTGAAGGTACCGTCAAACTAGCCATGAGACCTTGCTGAATCAGGCTAGACACAAATACGGCAGAGCTTCCCACCTTGAATAAAAGTGCCGATTTCGAGATGCCAAACAAGCTTCAATTCATGGCAAGTCTCCGAGATGGATCGATGCTCGCTGGATCGCCGAGTCTCGACAAATCCTCCGATGCCGAGCGTTATGCACCATCCTCGCAGTCAGCCGCTGACTTCATTCATGACGTTCGCTGGTTTCCCGATGACGATGCATGGAAACGACAAGAATAAAGGCGTGAATTGGTGCGAAGCAGGGTCCAGCCAAACTGAGCTAATGACATCAAGGATGGACTGGCTGAATTAGCCCCGCCTTTGCATGCGTCTGCCCCTGACTACAGAATGTCCGTGAAGAGTAGTTTGGTAACACGCGGGTGGGAATACAGACTCTCGGTTCGGTATGGACAGAGGCAAGAAGGTTCTTGAGGCCATGTGACGCGAAGAGACTGCTTCCCCGTCTCTCGGGTCCAGAGAGCCGGTCTTTGGAGGCTGTTCGGCATCCCTGATCAGGATTACGGGCTCCATCAGCAATCCCCAGCAGAAAGAGCGGAGCATCGATGGAGATGGAGGGGTAGCTTAAGCTCGGCGAGCTCTTCTCGAGCTCTGGGTTGGTGTTTGGCGGGGCAATTGGTGATTCACGATCAGTCGATGAAACCTGCCAGCAACAACTCCAAGCAGCACATCACCATTGTTGGCGAGCGTCTTTCGATCATTTCCTAAGGCTCATTTCCCGTGATCAACGCTTATTCGTCATCTCATCACACTTAGCGAGACAGGTCGCTCTCAATTGATCGCACATCACATCTCACTTGAGCTCACCAGCTACGTCTCATCTACGGACTCACCAACACAGGGAGGCAGGCCGCACATTCTCCAACCTCACAAAATGGCCGCTCCCCAGCCTGAGCGCCGGCGCATCGTCGGCCTCTCAACCAAGATGTACTTCTCCCTCGCCCGCCAGGCCGAATTCACCTCCGCCGCCCTCACCAGCCTCGCCGCCGTCTCCCCCGCCTCCCTCTCAGCCGTCGACGTCTTCATCATCCCCGACTTCCTCAACATCCGCTCCACGGCCGACTCCCTCGCCGCCGCCGGCGCCTCCCACATCTGGGTCGGTGCCCAGGACTGCCACTGGGAGGACTACGGTGCCTTCACCGGCGAGGTCAGCCCGGCCGCCCTGGCCGACAGCGGCGTGCGCATCGTCGAGGTCGGGCACGCCGAGCGCCGCAGGCTGTTTGGCGAGGACGACGCCGTCACGGCCAAGAAGGCCGCCGCCGTCGCGCGCAACGGCATGATCCCTCTCGTGTGCATCGGCGAGAAGACCAGGGGGGACGTGGCCGTGGCCGTCGAGGAGTGCCGGGTCCAGGTCGACGCCGTCATGGCCGGGCTGCCGTCCGAGGATACCGAGGTGGTGCTCGCGTACGAGCCCGTGTGGGCGATTGGCGCGGCGCAACCGGCGGGCGAGGAGCATGTGCTGGCCGTGGTGGCGGGGATCCGGGACCTGGAGAGCGTCAAGGGGAGGAGGGGACTTACGAGAGTGGTGTATGGCGGCAGTGCTGGTCCAGGGCTGTACGAGAAGCTCAAGTCTGGCTTGGATGGTCTGTTCTTGGGGAGATTTGGGCATGATCCTCAGCAGTTTGCCAAAACGGTCCAGGAGGTGGCCGAGGCGTGAGAAAGAGCATTGAGATCGGACATATTTAGAGTAAAACTGGGCAGTTTGTTTCGTAATTATTTAATGGAAGTAGATCATGAAGCTCTATGCAGCCTGTTTATATCTCCTATGGCGTGATTGATGCTCAATTGGCACCCGATAGCCTGCAATGACACTGACAGCCTGTTGATCAATCTCGATGCCATTGATACCCCATAATCTGACACATTCCTGACACATCGATGGAAAGTCAATTCGGCTATCGCATCGCCGGCTATGTCCGGGTTACGGCCCGCGGAGAGGGTCACCCTCGGCCACCCCAATAGAAGCCATCCCGAAGCCAGCCGAAGTCGACCATCTTCCCTACCACACACTAAGCAAGGAGATGTGACGTGGCAGATGCGGTTGCGTCAATTGTCAATCATCGAACGCTCATCGGTCCAGTTACCCCTCTTCCCCGCCAAGAGGCCTGGATATATAAGCTCGAGACTGGGCAACTTGGGACATTGCAATTCTCTTCAACGTGACACACCAATCGTGAACACACTTCTAAAACTTGCAAATCAAGCAAACCACCAAGCTTCAAAAAACTTGAACTTGAAGAAAAGTTTGTATATAACATGGCCATCTTGAGATGGATGAGCAGGACTGACGATTATCACTGACCAGCTGTACCTACTCTGGTAAACTTCTGCCACCCATGAACCTCTCAGCAAGAGGAGCAGCCGCCGTCATGGCACCTTTCAGCGGGAATATATTATCCATCAACGATTGTTGTATCACAGGTAAAGTTCAAATGCGTGAGCCGGTGCCCGCACCTCCGGGTCATTGATGAAAGGGGTCAGTGATGGTTCATAATCGTCATCCCCTCTCATCGATGGCTAGGGGGAGTGTGGCTGAGAATATACGGCCAAGGAACTTGATCTGGATAATACCAGCGAAAGAATCATGCTCTCACCCCTACCACCCAACCTCACCTCGCCAGCAGGCCAGACTGACACCCACCCCCAGATCCAAGATGAGTCCCCCCGCCGCCATCTCTCCCACCCTCGCAACTGCCACCCCCGTGGCAACAGCCAAGCAGGCCAGCCATGACGACGGCGCCGTCCAGAAGCATGAGGTCTCCGTCGCCGACATGCACGGCAACTGGGACTCGTTCCGCTTCGCCCCCATCCGCGAGAGCCAGGTCTCCCGCGCCATGACGCGCCGCTACTTCGCCGACCTCGACGCCCACGCCGAGTCCGACGTCGTCATCGTCGGCGCGGGCTCCTGCGGCCTCAGCACCGCCTACGTCCTGGCCTCACGCCGCCCGGACCTGCGCATCGCCATCGTCGAGGCCTCCGTCTCCCCCGGCGGCGGCGCCTGGCTCGGCGGGCAGCTCTTCTCCGCCATGGTCATGCGCAAGCCCGCCGACGCCTTCCTGCGCGAGGTGGGCGTACCCTACGAGGACGAGGGCGCCTACGTCGTCGTCAAGCATGCCGCGCTGTTTACTTCGACCCTGCTGTCCAAGGTGCTGCTCATGCCCAACGTGAAGCTGTTCAACGCCACGTGCGTCGAGGACCTCATCACGCGGCCCGGCGAGGACGGAGATGAAGAGGGCATCCGCGTCGCGGGCGTGGTGACCAACTGGACGCTCGTGTCGATGCATCATGATGACCAGTCGTGCATGGACCCCAACACCATCAACGCGCCCGTCGTCATCTCCACGACGGGCCACGACGGGCCGATGGGCGCCTTCTGCGTGAAGCGGCTCGTGAGCATGCAGCGCATCGAGAAGCTGGGCGGCATGCGCGGGCTGGACATGAATGCCGCCGAGGACGCCATCGTCAAGAATACCCGGGAGATTGTGCCCGGGCTGATTGTCGGGGGCATGGAGCTGTCCGAGGTTGACGGCGCGAACCGTATGGGTATGCTTGACTGTTTTCCTTGTGATATTCTTGTCTCATTGGATGGTGTGAACTGACGGTTGTGATGCAGGCCCGACTTTTGGTGCCATGGCTCTGAGCGGTGTTAAGGCTGCCGAGGAGGCTCTCAAGGTCTTTGACCTTCGTAAGAAGCAGAATGAGTTCTAAACAGGCATGGTCAAAGTGTTGACGGTACACGACTCGGTTGGTCTGCAGTCATGGATCAAATTGTTTTATCCATTCGTTTTGAGAGTCATGTTCGCTCCTTTCTTCGACGCTGTTGCGACGGCTTGTGTGTTGATGAAGAAACATTGTATTAGCATACTATCGTTGCTGACTTGAATGTGTCCTTCCTGGCACGAGAGAGAATAAACGCCTCGTCATCGTCATGAGCACTGTATCGGAGTGATTCGTATTTGCAAACGCCAGCGACCCATTTCCCACCCCGTAGAGAAAGCTCAAGAAAGTTTCAAGTTTGGAGATCATAAATACTAGCCATCGTTCCCAGACGATTTGCGGCGGGAGCAGCCGAAAGCAGCCCTGATCCGCCGCCTGGGTTCCGAAAAAAAGGGACCAGCGCCGCGTATAGAAAGAATCTAGAACGGCGCAACGGAGCAGATGGGGGGGAATGCTGACTGATGGAATGTCACTGGATGGAGGCCCCGTCTCAGGTTCGACACGAGCTTTGGCCAGGACACATGAGGCTTTGGCCTTGTCGGCATCGTGTCGACCAATGCCGTCGGGACGCTGCAGGGCTTTGCCATCGTTTGGTCCAGGACGGCAATCTTTCTGAGCTAAGCGAACAAACGCATGGCACCCTTGCCTGGCCCTCGACGTGGGAGAAGGGGATATGTTAAGCTGATGAGTCTATGGGGAGCAAGTAGCCCGTTCGCGTATAAGGGAGGAGGGTCTGGTACAGGCTACGGCATGCGACATAGTTAAAATCAGCTTACCCACCGCGGGCTAACTAGAACCGATGGATGTTCCAGATTCTTGGTGCCAGATTGGGAAGCCCAGAGAGAGATCTCAGCTACAATTTTGATGGAGTTGGAATAGAGGACCGAGTCACAGGCGGCCTCCCAGAACATCGGCATACAAAGCAGAAGGCGGGCAAGCGGAGCGAAATCATCGTCCGGTGCCAAGAGTAATAAAACCAAATGATTAATACCAGAGTCCCTTCGACCAACAGCTGAAGTTTGTTGGTGATTGATTGTGCGTCGTGTTAGACGGGCAGATCCTTGTTGGCTGCCTCCCGCTCCACCCTGGTCTGAGCAAAAAAAACAGCCTTAAACCCTCAGTCATGCACACGAAGAGTCTGGACTCTGGCCGCTGGGCTCGATTGGACTGCAGTACGACTCTCCCATAGGGCCAGCATGGGATTATGGCGTACAGCATCAGCATCTGCATCCTGGCCACCCCTTCAGCTGGATGGGTAGAGAGAGAGAATGTCGTATTGAGATATTGCCATCACACGAGGATGCAGTTGGCACCGGAAAGTGGGGAGGACGTAGCATTTGTTCATTCAAGGGAAATTGTATTTGTAAAGGATATCAAGAGTGGGAAAAAACTCCTTTATTCTACCCGAGGGTGGGCAGATCGTATGCAAGCCAAGCCCGTTCGTTTCAGCCCCTCCATAGGTATCTCATTTTCATTCCAGCGATTGAAGCCATGAAGTGAACACATTTTCCCAAGGCCCTGATCCTTCTCGTCTATCGGTCGTGACGGCCCAAAATCCACGGGGCACAGTGAACAGCAGTATTGGTGATGGTAGGTAGTAACAGTAAGAATTAGAATTATCGGGGAATCCGGACATTGTTTTATTCAAATAACAGAAGAAATCGCTCGTTTAGATCATAATGTGCAGTAAGATGGTGAAATTCCGCGGCGTGTTGGACGCGCCTCCGGGCTCTGTGCAACTGTTCAGAGTCACGGGGCAGTAATGCGGATGGCGATCTTAGGTTGCGGCCTGGGCCGCGGTGACTCTGCCAGCCGCCGCAGGTCGTCGTCGTAGCCGTGGAGGTCCTGATCGCCCTTCTCCTCGTCCTGGTCCAGGAATGCCCGCCTCTCCTCCATGCCTCGCTCACACCGGTCCAGGCACACCTCCCGCGTGGCGCGCTCCGGGCTCCAGGTGAGGTGGAGGAAGAGGGACACGGCGCCGAAGAGACCGAACAGGAGGATGACGAGGGCGATACTGATGTACAGGTGCATTGCTCCGTTGGGGTCGCCCTGGTCCACGCCGGCTTCGTCGATGTTGAGTGAAGTCATGTCGGTGAGGGAGGAGAAGCGGCGGGGGAAGAGCATGCGAGGCATCTCCTTTGCTGCTAAGGCGCCGTCCATCCTGGGTTCTGTCGTGTCCTTGTGTATGTTACAGAAGCCACTTTGTATGTAAACCAGATATTGGCGAGTAGTGAATAGTTCAGATGCGTGAATAGTTGGTTCTGGAGGAAGGAAGAATGGTGTAGACGGGAGTGTGGTTTATTAATGAGCGTCTGGCGGGATGCCTTAGTGTAAGGAGGTATTAATAGATGTTACTGAAGTGATGAAAGGGAGATGACAAAACGAGAGAGGTCATGCAACGCCGGGAGGTTTCACACAGCCGGCCTGGGGAACAGACGACTCTTAATACATGACAGGGAGGAGAGGTGACAAGGCGAGCCGACTGGTTATATGACCCCAAAGAAAGGAACCGCCCAGCTTCTCGGCCATCCGATCCGGCCCCAGCCAGGTGCCTACGGCGCTAGACCAGGGACACAGGGGGGATTCGAGCACGACAGGGCTGGACGACGGTGTGTCTGCTTGCGTGTGGAGGCGATCCCACCAACACACGAGGACTAGAGCCGATCAGGACTTTTGTTGGTTGCTTAGAGTTCAGGGCCTGGGCTAACCCAAGCCGAGGGGACGCTGGGGTCTAGAAAACCAAAGAGCTTGCCGCATACGATCAAAGCTACGTGGATGCTCCCGGGCGTACACAGACACATACATACGTACGTCCACAGGCGCCACATACCGATGCTTCAGGGGTGTCCCCAGCCCGGAGCCCAAGGAAAAGAAGCTTGTGTGTGCCTGCATGTGTAGATCGGCTCTGATTTGATTGGCCTAGGCGTAGCAGGCGGCCTCCCTGCGTACGAGAGAGTCTGGAGAGGTCTACAGCCTGTGGTAGGTCTGGTATGTACGCGGGACACCAAACCACATCATCTCCCATCTTCCCTTGGTCTCAAAGATGCCGGAGAGGGCACTGAGGGGCAGCAGAAGCCCAGGCCACGCAGTAAGCACACAAGTGCTCACGCCGCGCCCATGCATTCAATGCTGGCTTGGATTCCGTCTGATGCTGCGGCTGGCCTTATTGTCTCCAGTCTTGGGCATGCAAGCCGGATGCCTGCCCCTGTCCCGTTCCTTTTAATACTACAGCAGTTGATCACTCCTCGACGGAGTATGACCAAGCCGATGCCACATCGACAGGGAAATTGCATTCCTCCCTCCTCAAACTCTAAGTACTAAGCACATCTTTAAGCGCAGACTCGGCCCCCATTCCCTACCTTAATATATTAATTAGGCAAAAATCAACTTTAGTATTAAGCATACAGATCACCCCTTTTGCTCCTTTCGTGGGGCCGGCAATCCGGTTCGCTACAGCAGGAACCGACGCGGCAAATAGCGCGCGGGCAATGACAGCCAGAGTGGATGATGTTCGGTGCGCGACTTGGACCAACGGGCAGTCAGGCCACAGTCAATTAAACGCAGAGGAGCCAGCCAGCGCTTGGCAAGAATGTCATGCAGGCAGTACATCGAAAGAGAAGGAATTGGCACGATCAAGGCGCCCAAGATGGCGCTGGCCAATACCAGCATCACATCATCGCTCCAGGCACGCACGTGGTCAGAGGCCACCGCGGCCTGCACGTCGTCTTTGGCCTAGCCAATCCCTCCGGTGCGTTCTTGTCCTTGCCTCTTTTCATCTGCGAGATGGCTGCAGGGGCTCTAGCACCTCGTTAGCCCAAGCAGCGATTGATGGTGGATGGCGATCGCACGCATACAGATGTCTCTCTCCCACTACTGCCGGATACCCGGTCATTGTCTCGAGGCCTGGGACGTGGCATTCAAGCCATCGACTTCGTCATGCCTTGCGTCGTCTCTTGGATTAGTGGATGATGGTGCCGCTACAGCGCCTTTGCCGGAGCTGGCCATCCCTGCGGCCAGGCCGTTTCAATCTCTGCTTGCCAATATATTGGCTCCTGATCCACTGGGAGATGAGATATTCCCGAACATTAATATGAACCCACTTGCCAGCTCTCCCCCCACAAGAACCCGTTATCCGGGTTGGACTGGTAATTGGTCCCGGCCGGCCTCTGCTCCCATTTTCACGATTGGGCTATTGATTCCAACGGGCCTGAACTAGTACAATGCTGGCGTGTTTTCCAGGCCGATCTTCAAGTGTCATTGGGACCGCATGAGAGCCCTCTATGGCCGGAATGTGATTGGCCTGGGGAGCCAGCATGAAGCTACCATCGGAGCCAGCATTCCAATTTTGCCTCTGATTGTTTTACGGAGCACTAATTCGGGTATGGACGGACCAAATGGACATGAATAGTCCAGATGGGCCCTCTAGCTTTGGGTGGCTTTGATTAAGTTGCCTATACGCGATATTTCCATTAAGCTTCTTTCCCGTCATGTCGCTTTCCTATCAAGTCTCCCATTGCGCTCAAGCCGTTGGCTGTCACATGTCACTCCAATAGCTTAACTGTCTCATGGAAGTGGTCACGTAGACATCGATACGGCAGGGCGCTAGAGGCCTCGTGTGCGGTGAGGGTGTCGGAGTGAACATACTCGAATCAGAGATGGACTCATTTACCAGCCCAACCCATCTCGCCAGGGAGTGGGAGGTTACTGGGGATAAGGGGAGGCGTCCAAGTGAGGCCATCCACCGAGCCAAAGCTGTCTCACGAGGGATGGCTGCGAATAGCTTCGTTCTGTCGTCTCTCCACCTCACCGCCAGCGCGCACGACCCTTGTGCTCTGTAGCCGTCAGCTAAACACACTTGCAGGCATTCGCGATCGGAGAAGGTCCGTAAGGCAGCAATTCTGAGACAACGGGCTGGGCTGAACGTTGGTTCATTGAGATCGTCACCTTGCCTTAGTTGATGGAGTAGCGCACGCCACATTTGCCGATCGCTGTGATGAGATATCATTGTTGAATGGCGCGCTCGGCTAATCTGTAGGAGGACAGGCTATTGTTCCTTACCAATGGTGCAGAGGAATGTGCATCCTCTCGAGGGTGACCTCAAGGTGATTTTGTATGTGAGTGATGGCTCGTGAATGATGTCTTCTCACAAGCCCACTCCCATACAGGAACAGTCTGTTAGCCGCATGCGTGCATTCACTGCATGATCTTATCCAGGGAAGTATTGCGTACGAATATTGGAAGAGCTTCTTTCTCTGCTGGAGACGGTTAATATCGGGCCCCATTGGGTCAATGTGAGGGTTTCTTGCCGGCTGAAGCTCGATGAGAACTATCGCTTGACTAGCTCAATATTGATGGGATAACCAACAAAGCTTAAGGTCGACTCTATTCCCCTTGGGTCCTGCCTTGGAGAGCAATTTTGATCAGCGATAGGCAACCATCTGGTTAGTGATGCTCATGGTGAGTTGCTGTGCCTCGAGTCAGATGGCTTTGGCACGAGCGCACGTCGAGCTTTAAGACATACGGGCCACCGCTGAGCTTCCCCTGAGAGGCATCCGGAAGACTCGTTCCGAGTTTCTTCGGGTACTGATCACCACTCACGTTATCATGTCTGGACCCCATTCACACCCATTCCTCAGGAATGGTCTCATGTTGTAATAATATAATCCAAAGACAACGCGAATGTCTTGTAATTCTCCGACAAAGGCATGTGCCATATTTTCTTTGCAACTCTAACTCCTTCCCTACGTTACCACTTCACATGCATGTGGCATGTCAAGATCAACACCTATCTCTCTGAGCAACTCTGGGAGGCCAAGGATCTGCTAATCAACCAGAGAACGACCAGGTTGACCTCGACAAGGTAGTGTATGAAAAACCCAAGCTCGATTCAACTTTGTTCTTGGAAATGCCGAAGACTTGTAGGGTAGAATAGCTGCAACATGGGGATGGCGCCCTCGGATGGATCGTCCAAGATGAACACGTTCGACGAGTGAACAAACACGACACCTCGACTTATCCTCGGCGGTCTTAATGACAGGATTCAGGAAGAGAACACCGACAGTCGCCACGGGATGCGTCTTCGGAGCATCTTGAAGGGTGAAACAAGTCCATTCTTTGAGTGGTCACCCTGAGCAGCACCGCTGAATGGGCTGTTGAGTTTTTTTCGCCGCGCTTTTCACAATTTACCTCCGGTTCTCCTTTACCACCATCGTTATGCCGGGTGCCAAGGACATGACTGTGGATCTCTCTTGGTAACGGCAAAGAAAAAGGAAAGGAACGAGACCAATGACGGAAGAAAAGGAAGACCGCCTACTGCTTCTATGCTCCTTGGTAACAAATCTCCAAATCATCAGACACCGGCGGGCGAAGAAAAGCACCCCATGTCGACCTGTGCTCCAAGCCAGATACAGTTTGCCAGTGGAATAAGGTGTCTAGTAGCTTCGTTATCTTCCCCGCCATCTATATCAAAGGCATCGCACAGACTCGGACTTGAGCTGAACGGGGCTGAGAATATAGGCCATGAACTGGAAACCGTCCGCTAGTCGACTTCGATACGCACACGGCGATTAATTATGGGGAGCACTGTTCACCCTGGGGGAGGTCCACGCTCTACACGCAAGGGTTCACTGATTATCAAAGTCCGTGAAACTAAACGCATGATTACGGAGTTGATCTTTCGGTCGAGCAATACCACATGGCATATGACGCACCTGGCAAACACCCTGAAGTTGCAGGCATTGAACATCTCGACGCCGTGGAGAACCTTGTGAGCCCTACCCTAGCTTGCGCCTCGCCTTGTGAACAAGCAACAGTAGGTCCAGGGTGATACATCCTGGAGCTTGCGGCTCCCGCGGAATCCGGCCCACAGGCCAGGACCCTTTCCTCTCGCCCAGGAGATCCTCCTGAAACTGGCCGCCTAGGAGGGTACGACAACAAGGATTGAAAAGATATTTCCCTCCTCTATGGACAAACGAAGGGTCCTCCTCGAGCATGGCGCAGAAGAGAAGAAAAGGAACGGCGCTAGATTGCACCAGTTGCTCCATACCCGTAAGACGATGGAGTGTGTGGTGGGAAGCTACCAAGCTAATGGACAATTGAGGTTGATCTACAACAGATAATCAATCTACCGGTTTGTCTTTGATCGTGGGTCACGATGAACGACCATCAAGAGGCAAATGGCACATGTCCCCCTAGGAAATGGACTCAGATTCGATCCGCGACTGAAGTATTCATTATTTTGGTTTCGCTTCCCATAATGAAACGCCATCTACATCAATACAACTCCAACAACTCCGATCCCTTGATTAATAAAAGACAAAGAAACAAAAACGAACGCTCAGTTCCACCAGAGGCATAACAGGTAAGAAGAGTAATGTATCACCCTCTCCTTCACCTCACATCTTCAACAGCACGTCATTCTCAACAATCTTATCCTTCCAACCCTCCGCCGCCAACCTTACCATCGCCCTCCCCAGCTGCAGCGTCCCGATCCCATGGGACAGCGGTCCAAACAGCCTCTTGGGAGCCCTGCTGCTGGTCTTCGTCGGGCCCGTCGTCGTCGTCGTCAGCCCGCCCGGCCGCGCGATGAGCACCTCGAACCGGCCGGCGCCGTACGCCTCCTCGAGGTCGCACAGCGCCCTCTCGACGGCGCCCCTCCTGGTCCTGCGCGAGTCGTACAGGAACAGCAGCGGCTTCCTCTGGTGCTCCCGGTTGGCCCTACTGCCCCCGCCGCTGCACAGGACGAAGCGGAACTTGCGACCGGCCGGGGTCCTGGGCGCGAGGCGGGTGCACATGACCTTGGCGCCCGTGAGGGTCAGGTCGATGTCGGCCTTGAGGCTCTTGTATATGTCATCCGTGGGCTCGTCAGACTGGCCGCCAACTGCCCTATAGACGGTATTAGTATTGCAGCAGGTATTCCGACATCTACCAAAACGCGAAATCGTAATATGCAATCTCGTTTATATCAAGATGAGATACTACTGACGAGAAAAGAACGGCAATGGTATGGTAAAACTCACCATAGACAAGCCTCGGCTCCCACGAGCCTCTCCATCAACTCGTCCGGGTAGTGCGAGAAGTCGTGATGCATGATGACCTCGGTCTTGGGGTGGCTCTCCACCTCGCCCGCCACGGCCCTGCGGGCGAGGATGACGACCTTTGTGATCCGCGGGTCGGCGAGGCAGGCCTTGATGATGCCCCGGCCGGCGGTGCCCGTGGCGCCTGTGACGATGACCTTCATTTCCGCTTAGTCCTCACGCGGCTGTAGAGGAGCGAGCCAGACATCCAGAGAGGTCAGTGAGTCAAACGTATATATCAGCCAGGTGACTGATATTGGCGGTAATGATAGTTGATATTGGGTTTTTTTTAAATCCCCGGTGATTTTCTTCAGAGGAGGCTTGATTTGATATGTAAGTTGATATGCAGTGCGTGACTGGCAGCTCTCGGCACAAAGATGCCGATCGACTCGGGTCGTGGGGGGAAGCAGTGCCGCCCAGGTGAAACCTAATAACTGCACCTTCTTTGTCCTCCGGGTGGTATAATTGCACTTTAGTTTGCAGCGAGAACAGAGTTAAGGTGCTCATTCACTGGCTACAGGTTTGCCAAATGGCGGCGTGGTGGGCAAAGGGATCAAGATTCTCTCTATACATATACTACTAACATAGTATGCTCTATACACAACCAGCGACGATGCCTTCGGTGATGCAATGACAGGGTATAGCGCTAGAGTAACAGTTTTTTCCCATCCGCGGCATTGATTACCGCTCTCTGGTTTCTGAAACTTTGGGCATCAGATGGCAGACAGAGTCCGCATGGGCCTCTGAGGCCGTGCAGGGCGAGCCGCATATCCGGGCCGAGTGGAGCTCGCGCTCATCTCTTTCGTAAGTGATTTGCGGCGCTTGGCTCGATGGGAAATTCGAGACAGATCGAGCACACAGGTCAATTTGAGATGTCAGTGTTGAGTTATGCGCCGGTGCCTTGCAGCTGACTCAGGACTGAGACTCCCGAGGCCATCATTGACCTCAAGCTATGCCCACGAGAGCCGGTGATGGGATTGACCAAAACCTTGGAGTGTCTGCTCCGTGTCACGAGCATGCACAAGTGTAGTGCCAGACCCAGATAATCCAACCAGTCATCCATTGTGGCAGCGCGGGTACAGCCGAACCCAGCAACCAGTCTGTTCGTTCGGCTCACAACATCCGGGTGGATGCACTAAAACCGCCGTCCGCACATCACCACTGCAACTCTTCTGGTGCTGCCTATTCTGTATTTGTAGTTGATTGTCCTGGTGCCAGCCTTTCCTTTGTACTGTCAGTCGCACACGATGTATCATCACCGCATCATGCAGCAACACATACCATACTCCAACTCCTTAAAAGCAACATCTTCCCAGCATAGCCCAGCACAGATCCCCTCGCACCGGGCAAATCGGCACGTCCCCCACACCTTCATTCGATGCCGTTTGTTCCAGCGGAGAACTCTTGCCCCCGACATTTCGCCCATTCGCTCCACGAAAGAGGCCGTAATTAGACCCTAGATTGTCACACGACTGGGCCAGAAGTTGCCCCCATCCACATCATCTCTGTCGCGTCCATTGTTCGTCTTCGTATGCGTAGCACAGACCTCTGGTTGCCTAGTCTGCCCCCGGCACTTCTTCTGAGTCCCGCTCAAGTGAGGGATCAAGAGACGCTGCGCCACTGGAATATTCGAATATTTTATCAATCTTCTCGTGTGGTCCAAGGTATTAATTATAACCCTGTTTTCTCCTTCGTGACTTGTTTTGTGATTTGAATGCCGCAAGGCTTGACGCCAGTGCAACGATCGACATTGGTGTTTCATGCACTGCATCCCAACAGACTTTGCGCTGGCAGTACTGTTACTGCACTTGCAACCAGTCTCTGCCCAAAGGGAGGGGTTGGCATGTTGTAGTAAATGAATACCTCTGCGCGCGAGTCAACCGAGTCAAGTTAGTGACGCCAAGATGATGCATTGCCGTGTTCCGTGAGGTTGCACATTCGGTATCATCGGGCGACAAGTCATCAGAATGTAAATTTTTTTTTTTTCTCCCTTCTCCCCTGTTCAACCGAAGAGCATGGGCGCTTGGTCGCCGCGGACGCGGTCCCCGAGCCTGGTGACAAATAGCCAGGCTGCCTGGGATAACTTCTCGGTCAGCTCGCCCTGCTGGACGACCTTGAGCCGGCTCTGGCCCAGCACGAACCCGCCGCATGATATCTGCTCTACTCGGACAGAAGGATGGAACATATTGAGGGCCAGGTGGTGGTCGATGTAGGTGGCCAACGCCTCGAGAAAGGGCTGGCTCTGGGCCCCCTCCTCGAATCTCCAAGCCCACCCGTTGTCGTTGTTGGGTCCTGCGAGCCGCCGGCGTTCACGAGGGTCCTTCTCCCATGCTGCGTCCGTCTTCTTCTTTTCAAGTGTTTTCCCCACACGGACCAGTCTTTGTAGATCTTTCGGCTGAATCATGATGTCCATCGTTCTGAGTCCTGACTGCGTTGATGTTTTCTTTTCCTCATCCTCTTCGTCGCTCGGATCCGGGTCTGGGAGAGGTGCGTTGAAGCCCAGCGTTATGACAAAGTCCGGACCTCGTGGTGAGAGCCCAACCGTCTGAATCCAATCCTCCCACACTGCCGTGATCGTCCTGGTCCCCAGAGCAAGTCTGCTCACCCGACAGTCAAACGTCGTCGCCAGCCACTCGCCGATCACGTTCTTCAGAGCAGCAGGCATGCGCAGCAGCAACAGAGGCAGCCGGAGAAAGTTGCCATTATCGAGCTTCTTGCCCGTCTGCTCCTGACCCGGGTACATCTCCCAAGAAGACTTGCCCAATTCTCCTTGCCCGGCCGATCCCGGCATCAAGATCGCAACGTAGGCCGCATTCTCGTGCCGTATCTGGATCCACAGCCCTCGCTTCTCCTCGTCCGACAGCTCCTCCCACGCACTTCCCTCGCCTTGGAAATCAGTCGCGCTCCCCAGGACTGCCTTGGCGTCGAACCACTGCAGCTTGACCGACCGCAGAGGCCCGACCTGGCCGCCAGGCGTCTGAGATGATTCCAACCCGATCTGGATCCCGCGCACCACGTCCCCTACTAGAACATCGCGCAGGCGGCGGCTGAGAAGCTCGAGGCGAACTGGGGTCAGGCCGCCGGGCCCAACGTAGAGCGGCGAGACGGAGTGGGTGGAGAAGGTGGTGTTGAAGAAGGGCGGCGCGGCGTCGGCGTCGGTGTCGGCGGCGTTGGAGCTTTGGAAGGCGCTAGAGGCTTGCGAGACGCTCGATATTCGGGCGCTACGTCGGGACATGGCTGTTCATGGGCATTATGGAGCCCTCGATGTATACTTTGGGGATTTCTGGTATTTTGGTAGGGGTTGGAATTTGCGGTGTTGGAAAGAGTAGATTTGGAGGTGGATGTAGCTTGGTGGGGGAGACGCGCCTAAACGCGACTGTTGGTGTGCTCTAGCACTTAGCTTTCAGAGCAGTACAGACATGGTCAAGTCACCACAAAGCCTAAGTTTCCATTAAGTTAAAGAAAATCGATCATTAAGCCCTTGATTACGGAGCTTAATCTTCCCCTCTGCATTGAGCACTTAATAATTGATTTCAATGGTAGTTTTTTCCCCATCACTAGCAAAAGTGCAATATCATTCAACGGATGACAATATCATCCACTTGATGATGACTAAGCCGGACTTGAGACAGTTAATCTCAACGTTGGAAGATGTTCTGGGCCTGCATCCTACCCTGTCGAAACTTCATTGGGTGTGATCCTCCTAGCGAGCACATTTCTAAGCCGAGGATCTTGTGAGCTTGATTTGTCAACTAGATGCCAAGATTCAAAGTCTGCTGACACTTCATTCTGACATCAGATCAGCCTACCCATACCATAGGATGGCAACTATGGGATATTATATGTTACCGCTCATAATTACTTGTCGTTGGGGTCTTTACTGTCAACCAAATGGTGCTAATTCTGTGACTCAAGGTTCTTTAGAGAGGCTGAGCGCGCCACACTACAGTCCATATCACCCGTCCACGTTCTATTTCGATGACACTCAGTCCTTTCATAAACTTGGATATCATGGGCCGTGGGTAAAGATGAAGGAATAGAGGGGCAAGAGGGGTTGCGTTCGGCCAACTTGGCCGTGGTGGGTACATACTTACCCACTATCCCAACGGCTGTCATGAATATGGGGATTGGCATCAGTTCTCGAGTTATAAATAGGGAGTCGTTCTCATGACCGGCATGAGAAATTTCGACCCAGTTGAAGAACAACATCTATCCCAAGTATTATCATGGCACCAACCGCAGTTAGCTGGAGCACTTCCTCCCAGGTGAGTGACCTTTCTGGCCTCGTTCTGCAAAATGAACGACCTACCCCCGAACTGGGAGACAAGGACGTCCTGGTGGAGCTTCGGGCTGCCTCTCTCAACTACCGTGACCTCGTTGTTGCAAAGGTGAGTCTTGAGTTTCCCATTTCTACGTTGAGTGTTGCATTTCATTCTTTTGACTCACAATTGCCCCAGGGCAAAGGCGGTTTAGTCGCACCGCCAGGTGCCATTCCAGGTTCCGATGGCGCGGGAGTCGTGGTCAAAGTAGGAAGCCAAGTTCAAAACCTCCGACCAAATGACAGAGTTGTCACGCACATGGTCCCGGAGAGGTTTCCAAACGATTCGATCCCTCCCTTGGGGGATGACGAGCTCCCGGGGTGGAGCCACATCTGTGCTGGCTTGGGCCAGGAAATGAATGGCACATTGACTACATATGGCGTGTTCCCCGAGAGTTGCCTGGTCAAGTTTGGGGACGGGATGAGCTTCGAAGAGGCTTCTACTCTTAGCTGCTCCGGAATCACAGCGTGGAACTCACTTATGGGTCTCGAAGGGAAACAAGTTAAGAAGGGAGATTGGGTTTTGGTTCAGGGGAGCGGTGGCGTGAGCGTCGCCGCGTTGCAATTTGCCGTTGCGGTTGGCGCTACTGTAGTTGCTACCACAAGCAGTGACGAGAAAGGCTCGAGGCTCAAGGCTCTGGGTGCGAGCCACATTGTCAACTATCGCCAGACGCCATTGTGGGGTGCTGTTGCCAAAGAACTGACTCCTTCTGGCCGCGGGTTTGACACCATTGTGGACGTGGGTGGGAATGCCACCCTGTCCCAATCGATGGCTGCTGTACGACGAAACGGTGTGATAACCGTCATTGGTATGATTGGCGACGCAGATGTTGAGCCAACCCCGATGATGGCCGTGCTCTTCGTCGCTTGCGTTGTCAGGGGCATCTTGCTAGGGTCGAGGGCAATGATGAGAAGCATGGTCAAATTTGTCGAGGACAACAAAATCAAACTAGCACTCGACGACGAGGTCTTTGCGCTTGCAAACCTGAAAGACGCTTTCAAAAGGCTAGAGGAACAGAAGCACTTTTCTAAGGTGGTAATACAGATCCCAGGTAAGGTACAGAGTGAAGAAGTATAAAGACGACGGCAGCTCAGTCGTCTAGGGCCGAGGGAGCGCGTGGAATATGCCATTGTCAGTCTTGAGAAGAAAAATACAAGATATTACTGACCATGCGTAACAACCTGTTGTCTCCCATGATCCAAATGTCGCTGTAAATCTCAAAATAGCAATGATCTGGTATCTTGATAGGATAATAAAACGCCAAATAACATCTCGACTGGGTCAAGTTTCCCGAGTCATCCGACTCATTATGCACCAACGCTGAATCCAAAAGAACCGTCAAAGACATCCAGTTTCGAGACGTCCGTGTTCTTCTCGCCACGAAGAGCACGAAGAATGTCAAAGTCGGGGACCTTGTTGGCCGGGTAGAAGAGAAGGAGGTTGTCCATATCATCTTTGGTTAATTCGCACATCTCCTCCCAGTTGTATGTGTCGCTCACTTTCGACATCCTAGTCACAGTCAGTTTCGCCTTGATTGACTAGAAACCATATTTCCACGCACCATGTCATCCGCTTCGGGCCATCCTCCGAGGTCGGCGCGATCTTCCTCAACTTGACCCTTAGCTCGCCAATATTCTCGATTGCATTTCCAGCATTCTCGGGCAACGACTTGGCGATGAACTTGCGGATTAGAGCAGCGATTCTCGGCCCTTTGCCGTTGGTGCTGACCATGATCTGGAGTGGTCCATCCCGGTGCACGCTTCCGAAGTAGAAGTCACACTCAGGGGGCACATCCGCAATGTTGGCCGGGATCTTCTTCTCCTTGCATAGCTTCCATATAGCGGTCGAGGCAGCGGGATCGTCGACGGCGACCAGAACCATCTCTGCACCATCGAGGTCAGAAGGCTCGAAGACACGGTCCACGTGAGTAACCTGCTTCTCAGCTATTCTGTGGCGGACTTCGTCGTTGAGACCCGTCGAGGGCGCCACGACGGTGACAGCGGCGTCCGCATTGAGGCAGTTGAGGATTCTTCCAGCAGCGACCTGTTACAGACCAACGGATCCCAGAGTCAGTATCCACGACGTTTTTTCTTTGTCCTGTTGCAGCTTGGGTCTCACTCACCTCACCACCTCCAACAACCAGAACCTTCTTACCCTTGATCTGCCACGCCAAGATCAGGCTGCCACCGGGCTGGACTTGGGGGAACTTCTTTGCCATGATGGAGACCTGAGAGGGATCACGCGACATTGCGTTCCACGGGGTTCAGTTGGGTTGAGACAACTGATAAATGATGGCCGCCGGACCGACCCTTGCACCTTGCACTTGTAGTGACGCTACCTAACGATAAGATAAGCCCAGCCAGCGTAAGCCTAAAACGTCAGCTGTGGCGGCCCGGTAAGGCGGTACCTGCTCCCCCGCTGGAAACAGTCCGAACTCGCATGTTCCCCCCTATCGCCTGCCTCAAGCACAGGCCGGGAAACCATCCCATCTGAACCCCGTTCCCGTCGACCTCCATCCAATTATAACCAACCCCCTGCTGCGTCTGCCTTGATTCAAAACCCCGGAGGAACATGCCTGCAGCCCTCCAGCGGCTACGACACAAAACCTCCAGTGCAGCACCGCCTACCTGCCCACCAGTTCCCGCCCAGACGAACAGGTAAAAGACAGCTCGAGGGGGGCGCAGTCCGGCCAGCTGACGATCGCTCTACTCTGTTCAATTTCAACTCGCCCCCAGCTTCACCGCCGCTGCCGCAACACTGGTGCTGATGCTCCTCCAACTTTCCCCGTCCCTTCGTGCTTCCCGATCGCAACGAGATGTCCGGACGCAAACTCGGTGGCGGCCGCATCTTGGGCAGCGGTAAGGGCCTCGCTCCTCCGACCCCTCCGTCTGGCGCCCCTCGTTCGCTCAGCCCTCTTGCGCCCTCCGAGAGCACCGTTTCCCTGGGCTCTTCCTCGATTTCCCCGCCTGGCTCGGCGGCTCTCACAGATCTTGGGCAGGACATTGGCTCGAGCATCAGCCTGGGCGCGCAGTCCAAGCGGTCAGCAGCAAATGGATCAGCCTTGGTCTGCCCCATTTGCAATGAAGAGATGGTATGTCCTGAGGATACTACTCGTTGGGCCATCGTGAGCTCTTCCACTAACCGCCGCAGTTGACGCTTCTACAACTCAATCGACACATCGACGACAACCACCAAGAACTTCCCGAGGAGGAGCAGGACGAGGTGAAGACATGGTTCGACAAGCAGGTTCTCAAGGCGAAGCGATTCCAGCCACTGTCCCTCATCAACCAGAAACTCCGCGGCCTGGACGTCTTCGAATCGAACGAGTCCACGCCAAGCCCCCCACCCGTATCCGCATCGGCCGCCAAGTTCCCCGTTGAGGCTGCCCCGATCGACCCAGACGACCTGATCACACGGAAACACTGGCAGCGAACCACGCATGATGACTACTGTACGGACCCAGCCTGCGGGCGGAGCTTGGGTGCGATTGTGGGAAGCGTGAACTGTCGCCATTGCGGCCGTCTCTTTTGCGAGGAGCATACCATGTACCAGATGAAACTGAGTCGGAGCGCCAACCATGAGCCAGTAAGAGGATACTGGGCAAGAGTATGTGAGACATGCTACAAGTCGAGAGATGGGTACAAGGATCACAGCGGACTGGTAATAGATCACACTGCCACGTTTGCCGACATGAGGAGGAAGCGACTAGAACGACACAACCTGGAAGTCTCGAGGCTGGAGAAGCGATTGGCCAAATTGGTACGGCTACTAGAAAGCGCGCCAGAGAAGGTATCCGCGAACGCTGGATTATTATCGCCCACGTTGTCTGGGCAAAAGAACCAAAGAAAGCTCCTGGAGCAGTCGGTTGTCACATGGGAGGATGACAATACAGTGCCGAAGTGCCCGTTTTGCCAACAGGACTTTGGGTCGTGGACTTTTAGGAGGCACCACTGCCGAATATGCGGAAGGGTTGTCTGCGCCGATCTGCAGACCGGGTGCTCCTCCGAGGTAGCCATCGATTCAGCTGGCCGTACGTCTTTTCTCCCCAGTGGACATGTTTCCTTTGCAAAACTAACAGCCGCAACAGTTTCCACAGAGAAGCCCATAGCTGTCGCAGCGCCGGGGAAACTAAGCATAGACGTGCGCATGTGCAGGGAATGCAAACACACCATCTTCTCCGGGCGCGAGTTCAGCGACTCGATCCATTCAAAACCACCCGATCAGCGGGCCTACGAAACACTCCGCCAATTCGAGCGCGGAATCCGCCAGCTTCTCCCCTCCTTCCACCGCACACTCCTCGCCCTCCACCCGGAGAAGTCCGAGACTGGCGAGGTAGACCTGAGCAAGCCCCCGGCCACACACGCGCAGATCCAGGAGGCTGCCAAGATCCGCAAACGGCTTGTGGACAGCTTTGGAAAGTACGGACTGGCGGCAAAGAGGATAAGGGATCTGCCGAGCGACAGCCCGTCGCAGAGGAAGCTGCAGATGGCTGTTTATACCTACGCGAGCGGATTCCTCCACACCAACATGCTTCCCCTGAAGAGCCTGCCGCAGGTCCTCCGCTCACGATCATCCCTATCTACACAATCAACCATTTCACGAATATCCCAGCCTAATCCTTCCGGCCTCCGCCACTCAGAACTCGTCGACTCGGAAACCATCTCCCAGGGAGGCACGACGGATGATGGGGCAAGCACTGTGGTAAGCCTTCTCGAAACAGAGGAGAAGGACTTGCGGGAGAGGCTGGTCGTGCTGGAAGAGCAGCGATTCATGGTCGACGAGATGCTCAAGTCCGCCACGAAATCCCGTCGGTTCGAGGAGGTCACGGCTCTCAGCAGGAACAAAGACGAGCTGGTGGGGGAAATCGACGATCTGAGGAAGAAGGTCGGGGGCGTTGAGGCGCGCTGGGAAGGCATCTACCAGAATGGTGCGACGGCAACATGATACTTTCAAACTGTGTTTTTTTTTCGCCTATTCTTTCACGACTTTGGTTTCGGTTAGGTACTTTCGCCCAACGTTTCTTGCAGAAACACACCTTTTTTTACAAAGAGACCAAATTGCTCGGGGGAAAGGGGGGTTACGTGGAAGGCGGCGGTACCACAATGAACTACTAATCCTAGCATATGTATCCAAGGGTTCTTGCATGGAATGGCGTTTTGAGTTTACAGGGTGGTGGGAAGAGAAAGAGAGAGAGAGAGCTCTTTGAATTTGTTTCCTTTTCAACAACACTTATCTGGGTCGTGAGCTTTTGAGCAATTTGTTGGAGTTAAAGCAGATGCATAGCTAGAATTCGTAGGAGATGAAGCGGACCGTGATGGAAACCGGTCACCTCGAGAGCGTTGAATTAACAGAGTCCTCCGAAGAGACAGCCTGGTGTAGGCAATATATCACACCTAATTGTATCTCGGAACGCATGGCACTAAGAGTATCAATCATCCTAGAGCGAAAAGTTCTCTGCACGTCGAAATCTTGAAACTGCAGTTCAAGTCGTTTCATACATTACTATGCGAATCCGCCCAAATAACACGGGCAGCGAGACGTTGGGTATTTACCGCCCGAGGATCAAAGAATGAAAACAACACCATATGTCCCAGAAAAACGCCCAAAAAAGCATATAATCCCAATCCATCCCCCCTTGCCCTGAGCCAGTTGTAGAGGGGCTCTAGTCGGTATGACCATGTCTCGAAACATCTAGCCGTGTCCATCAATCCCACATGTCCAGATGGTGTATATACAGGGCTTCGAAACCTAATGAAGAAGAATAACAGGTAATGCAAAGCCAAAGATGCTGGAACGTAAAAAATAAACAGCGAGTTCAATCGTCGTGGCATTACTAATGCACGACGCCCTCGACGCCACCGAGGAAGCGTCTTACTCTGGTCGGGTCCAGCTCGTCGCTCTCGCTCTCAGCAGCCTTCAGCAGGCCGTCCACTGCGGCGTCAACCTCGTCTTCGGCCACGCCTGTACAAACTGAGATGACTCGTCGATACTTGAACTCAATGTCTCGACTTCGCCCTTTCAGCTTTTGAACCATTTTCCTCGTGGCGTCAGCGCGACTCTCTAGAGCCTTGATGCGAGTGCGCAGGACAATGGAAGATGGGAGGAACCCTATAGAGGCCTCGGCCGGAGATTCCAGAACGGTGGAGAGTTCTGTTTCCCATGATCCGAGGGGGTTGGATCCAGCTTGTTCTTGCATGAGGCGAATCTTGTCATCCTGGCGAGTACTGGCCAAGTTGGTGATGATCTGGCGGGCAACCTGCTGCTTTTTCAGGGTGGCAGAGAGCTGCTCGACAGTCTTTCTGGCCTCACCTAACTGTGTCGAAGTCGTTCGCAGTGTTGAGTGAATGGAATCCACAGATTGTTGTTTAGCTTTGATTTCCTGCTGGAATGAGGTGCTTGTCTCTGTCAACAGGTGGGTAATGGCTGTTTTGAAGTTAGTCATAAGGTCTCCTACAATAGGCAGCAGAAGAAAGTACTTACAAGTGATGATCTCATCGCTGCTCTCCTTATTTCGCTGACTGGAACCGACTGCGCCGTTCGTATCAGACTGCTCCACTACTGTCTTCTCCTCTGGGTTCTCGCCACCGATGCCGAAGTCAAGCGGTCGCAGGCCAGCTCGGTTGGCAATCTCGGGATCTGCGCCCACTTCGAGCAGTTGCGACACTATGCTGCGATTGCCTATCCTCGCTGAGATGTTCAGAGCGGTGTCGCCAGCGCTATCCTGGGCGTTAACTATTTCGCTCATGAACCGCGCGATGCCCATCTTGGGGGTGGCTGTTTGCGAGCTTGAGGGGACGTTGCCGTTGGCTTGGCTGTTCGGCACACTTCCTTGGCGCACAACCCACTCGAGCAGACTTTCCAGGTAGTACCTGCTTGCCGAACTGCGCCCCTTGACTGCGCTGGTTACAGCAATGTGGTGAAGAACTGTGCGTCCCTTGTGATCGCGGGACTCTACGGTACCACCTAAAACCTCGAGCAGGTCGGGGAAGGACCCATGATCCATGGAATTAGTGACTAGGCAGGCCCGCATTAGCGCTGTCTCGCCCGAGGTATTCACTCGATATGCAGAAGCTCCGCATGAGATGAGGGCGCGTAAAAGGGGCATGCGGGACAAGGTGGCAGCCCAATGCAAGGCTGTGTGGCAATGCGCATCGATTGGCATATCGAGTTCCTGGGGGGTAAAAGTTTGGAGAACCTCATATCGAGTGATATCTGGCGCACCGTCGTCCATGAACAAGTCCATAAGAAGGCTGCGCTTGTGTGTGGTTTCGGGCGTGTGGTCCATGGGCAAGGGAGCGAGAGGACCGCCAAGATCCTCGTTGGGACTCTGGTTGATACCGTTATATACGAATGATTCGTTGGGCTCGGTGGGAGACCCGGGGAATGCACTTGCGTTGGCGTACATGTCGAGAGTCGGCCCGTAACTAGCAATACCACCAAAACTTTCACTAGGTGTCATGGCTGTACGTTGGCGCTTTCGAGGCGGTTCTGGCTCGGTAAGGGCGCCTTGAGATGAGGGTTGTTGCTGTGCCGAAAAACTCAAGTCTGGTTGCTGACCGTAATCAGAAGCGTAGCTCTGCTGCGAATTGCCGGGGAAATCATCGTGCCCCGATGCTTGACGGTTGAAGCTTGGAGCTCTCGTAGGCCCATTCCGGCTCCTGGGGCCGGGAGAGTCGAATCTGGCCTTGCTGATGGCAGCAACTGCGTGAGACGCGGTGGTAGAAATGCTCTTGAAGAAAGTGCCCGAGAGTCCACTGGCTCGGCCATCAGCGTTCGAATTGTAAAGTCGCTTGCGTTGAGCAGCCATGGCCTGCTCTTTGGTCGGCGTGTTGAGGTCGCCTCGACCGGCCACACCACCGTCCTGCCCCATATCGTAGGTCAAAAGCGGCCGTAATAGCTCCTCGACTCCATACTGGCGGCAAACTTCGACTCCTCGATCAAATTTGATCCAAGTGCCCTGGTATTTGCCGTAGCCGCCCTGAACTTTTTCGTGCTCGCCCGTCTGGATCTCCTTTTCGAGGATCTTTGTGCGCTTGCCCTTATCTACACCGGCGACTTTCAGAATCTGCGTCGCATTGAGCCATGAGTCGTTTCTCCTGCGCATGACAGCGATGCCATTGACCTCCATTTCGTATACGTCGACGCCCGAGTATGAGGCCTAGAGAGGAGAAAAGATCTGGTTAGCCTGACTGGAGAAGTCTCTTCCTATCGCGAAGCTGTGACATACTGAATAGATGGGCGAATCCATTACGGCGCTACCGCCAAATCCGCGGTGGAAGGAGCCCTGCAGCCCCTGTTGGGATTGCTGGCTCATGGTGAAGGATTGTTGGGAAGATTGCGAAGCTGATGGCATGCTGAAGTCGCAATTAGGATTCGAGTCGCAAGACGACCTGCGCGGGAAGTTGGTGGAATCTGAATCGTCAAGGGCCGCCAAGGGCCAGCGAGATGTCTGTCACACCCGCCAGGATGGATGGTTGCCAAGGGCGAGGTTGCCAGCCGGATACCTTTGTTGGATGCTCAGGGTCGGAATTTTCAAGCAGGAGCGGGAATCCGGGGTAGGCAAAAGCGAGTGTGGAAAACACGGTGGTCGAGGGAGAGTTGTGAAGGCCCGGAGGGAGGGAAGAGGGAATGATGGGGGAATGGACAAGTTGAGAGTGGTGCGTGGAACTAATTAATTATTGTACTAGGCGCGCGGAAATGGGTTGCAGCAGTAGCGACCGGGTGGTGTGAGAGGTGTTGGTGGTAGTGGAGCGGCGTCGAGGTGGTAACAGAAAGTGGGATAAAAGTATGCAGGTGATTGATTGATTTTAATCGAGAGTCGTGGACTCTGCTGCTTGTTGGATCCCAGTCAGTCGTGGAACAGGGAATAAGGTACTTGAACAATTCGGAGATGGAGTAGTGCAAGTGAGGTAAGGTAGTAGAGCCGAGGGGAATAGAGCAGTCTCCGCTTCTGCAGCCAAGTAATTAACCTGAGCGAACACCTGCCTTTGTTCCTGAAGCCGTGTCTCAAACCCCCTCAGGTGAAAAGAAATCCTTTGATTACACCTGAAAGGAAGCCAGTTGCAAGTCCAGGCTGTGAGTGTATGCAAGAAGAGCTGGGGCAAGGTGAAGGAATCAGCTGGACGGGAAGACGGAGGGAACTCGAAACTACCTGGTAAAGAGAACTTACGATAGTGCGGTACAACGTTCATATCACAGCCCTCCAGCCTCAAGCGTGAACGCACCACACCTTCCCTTCCATGGCGGCGGATCTGAGGATGAGCTGCATTAGTGAGCCCGAGGCCTGATACGCGTCCCGACACGGGTCTCGGTGAGGCGGCCAATTTAATTGTTGCAGGGCGACGTGTCTTTTTCGTGATTTTCGTGACGTGACGCGTGACCCGCGATGAGGCCCTAATTCACGGTCGCCATGAGACCTTAGGCGTCTCACTGCACAATGCGCTGTTGTGGCCGCTTATGTCAGCAATGCCTCACCAACCAAGTGGGTGACAGGAGAAATGAGACACCTAGTGAAAGGGTGGTTATTAATCGTGTCTCAATTTCAATGTCACCCACTTGCCAACCTACAACAAAGATGTGCCATGTCTCCAACAGATCGGTGCATAGAACGGATCGAATCAGGTGCATATCCGAATTAGGATATGCTTGCATGATTGTAGAATGTATAATATTTATCCCAAGCTTGCAGCCGAGGTACCACCCACCTTCATGCGTGCACTTCCAGGCCGCATGGCACTGACGATAGGTACCTGTCGGTACGTACCGCAACCAGTGCCAAAATTTCCCTCCAACTTCATTGCATCTACGTAGGCCATTTCATATCGCCCAGTCTTCCGCAAAACAAGTGCAGGGTCTTCTACTTGTTTCAAAGCTCTATTTTGGCCGTGTCTCAAGTGCTTGTACCTGACCCTCGTTTCCTCTTTTGTGCTGTAATACAATGCCTGCGCCTCCGCCACTCACGCCCACCAACATCAAACCACTCCATCTCTATCGACAGCTCCTCCGTGAAGTTTCCTACCTGCCCCCGGCCTTTTCCGACTCTATCCGAACTATAATCGCCCATCGATTCCGCCTCGATAGAACGAAGAAGGACCTCGACGTTCCGGAACGTCTTGCCCGAGGCAGGAACGCCTTGCGCCGACTACGGGACGCCAACCATGGCGGCTCTGGCCCCATGCTCGGGCTGTTGCTGAGAGGATTTGCCAGGTCGGGCGCATCGCGGATCAGCTTACTCTCGAAGCTCTCAGCAAAGGACGCTCCCAGTGACTCTGAAGCGCTTGCGAAAGCTATGGATGAGCTACAACCCACAGGCGATGGCGGTGGCGGTGGCGGTGGTTCTACTCTGTCGAAGACGAAGACAAACAAGTACGGCTGGATGGACAAGCTGGATAAAAAGAAGCTATCTAGATTCGCGACGTCCCAGAGACGTCAGCAGGAACGGATTGGCCCCAGCACACTCTCAGATTTCTCCGGTGTAAAGGCACCTCAAGAAAATCAGCATGTGCCGAAATTGAATACATGGGGAAAACCTCCTTCGGAGTACGTTGTGAGGGCCAACCAGGCCAAGGTCTGGAAGAAGACACTCGGCATGATACTGCCTCCTCTGCCAAAGCCGCAATGGGAACTGCTCCGAGACTTGGCCAATGGTGCTCAGGAGACAGCTCAGTGGAAGTTGCCTACCCGCAGGGCAAAGGCGAAACCTCTATCTGGTCCTACCGAAGACTCTGAATGGGATTGGAAGGCATACGCCCTGAAACCGACGACTACAATCGAAAATCGTTCCAGTCTCCGGGAGTCACGCTTCTCTCTCTCCCGAGACGAGGGAAATCCCTTCACTCTACGAAAGAGGGCTTCGGCAACCAGGTCAGATCGATGGTTCCGCCGCGCATACGACACAATATGGAGGAACAGCGCTGTCATGGAGCAAGACCCTCAAACATTGAACTACGATATCACCTGGGGAGGTGAGGCCGACAAATACCCCCGCCCAACCCAACGTCAACTTCAATTCCTTGATTCGGCTCTGCCCCAACCCGAACCTAAGACGACATCACGACGGCGATGAATGATTCTGTAATTCTATTTCTCTATATGCCTCTAAACCTTTTTTTTCTTACCCAAGAAAGTGTACGAGCCTCCTACTCCACTCAGTCTAATGAATGGGCCAGCTTGTTCAAGCCCTCTCCATCAACACGCATACCCACCCAGTCGTTCATAGCAACTGCTCCGATGCTCTCATAGAACTTGATACTTGGCTCGTTCCACTTGAGCACAACCCACTCCAGTCTCCCACCCTCCATGGCCAGCACCTGCCTGCTCAGCTCTACCAATAGCCGCTTGCCATATCCCTTGCCGCGATACTGGGGCCGGACGAACAGATCCTCGAGGTAGATGCCAGCCTTGGATCGCCAGGTGCTGTAGTTGTAGAAATAGAGCGCCATGCCTGCGGCTTCGCCCTCCGGTGTGAACAGCAGAAGGCAGCGCGAAGGCCGAGTGGGCGATGTGGGTTCCGTTACAGGCACCGAGGGGCTGTCACTGGTGGCGTCGTCTAGAGCGAAGGCGACTGTGTCCTGGATCGTCTGAACCGTTGCCTTGACGGCGTCGGACTCACGCTCGTAGTCGGCCAGCTCCTGGATCATATCAAGGATGATTTGCGCTTCTGTTGTGTGGCAGGTCAGCTCCGATCTTCGGCGACTGAGCTTTCAGGACCCCTCACCTTCGCGGCGCGCATGTCGGACGACAGCTTGGTTGGCGGTCATGATGAGACTACGCTATTTCTGTGAATTGGGGGTTCTGTACGAGGAGATTGACAATATTTCAATTTGGCGACGAGTAGAAAACGAAGTTATCCAGTCTCAATTTATGTAATTCCATCGTGGGGCAGCATCTGCAGAGTCGCAACGGAGGGCGTCGCAGACATTTTGGTGGGGCGATGCACTACACCGAACTGTGCGGCGGTTATTACTCCGATGCACGATCTCTCCGACCGACCGACTTTTCACAGTCAAGGATCTTGAACGTGGGCGAAGAACATAAACAAGGTTCAAGCACAGCAGCCTTGACCACAGGGCGTCTTCAAACAAATCTATAAACCAGAATAGAACAATGAAGTGGCAAAAGGAACGTTTGCCGACAACTCATAAATAAACAACCTGAGGGTTAAAGTTCTGAGCTCCTCAAAACCTACTCGCGCCTTCTCGGATAGTATGCACCTTGAAGAGCACAACATCAATTGCGTGCTTGCTGAAATTGCTAAGACCGCAATCGGCATATTTCCAAGAGCACCCAAAAAATAAATATGAAATAAAGTTATTCGTCCCGTGCCAGTGGCACTTGCTAGTGACTGTCCGATGCTGTCATATCCCGATATGCTCTGGTCTGAACACTCCTCCATCAAATTCCCAACTTAGAAGCACAGATTACTTGACGCCCAGGGTAGTGTCTATCACCTCAACCATGAACATTCCCTGTCATCAGTCTGTGCTATTTGGTCTTAATTTGGCAATGTACTCCGGCCACACTGAGCAGACCTCAGTCACTTGCGTCGCGTCGTTATTGAGCACAGCAACATGAATATTAATCATTTATTTAACCATGAATCGATTGGTGGTTATCTTGACGTTTGTCTTGCGGTGATTGAATTGTAATATTCCCACTCTCTGTAGCTACAGCTTTGATCCTATTCTCATCTCCCCATCCCTCACATGGGCACGAGCTCAGCCATTCAAGATATCTGGGGAAAGGAGTAAGTAAATCAATATGATTTTGCTCAGCTGCCAACAATTATTGCTCCAAGTACACCAATACCCCCGTCGACTCCTCAAGCAACATCGCGGGCTACCTATTCCATCATCCGTTACAGTTCTCTACTCAAGAATCCATGCCTGAAGTCACATCGCCGCTAAAATATTTGCACACGAAATGCTCAATTGAACCCCTATCTGAAAGGGTATTGTATTACTAGGTATAGTATTTGAGGGCTACGGAAAAACACTCCATAATGCGATCCCCAAAATGCTTGAGAAAGAAAGATGTTAAATAATTGACATGTTTGTTTCCTCAGAATGGCAGTCTATCAGATCGGACACGCAAACCAAAAAGGGAGATAATCCCATCAAAACGATAAATTAGAGACTGGCAACTTAGATGCCACCCCGCCCGTCTTTCCACCATAAGCTAACAAATCGAAGCGTTCATTGCTCGACAGGGATATATAAGAGAAAAAGGCGTGGTTCTTGTTTTCGGTCATAAACGCCCAGGGCTCACTGGAAAGCCGAGACGCGTGAGAGGGCCATCGAGCCGGGTCGTTGGCGGAGAGAGATGAGAAGAGTACGTGTGTCGGCAAGGCGTTTACAGGAAGAACACGGGGACGAGCAGGACAAGCCCGGCGATGATGGATGGGACCGCGAGAGTGCCGGCAGCATTGCAGTCGTCATCGTCGCCGCCACCGCTGCTGTGGCTGCTGCCGCCACCCTTCTTGCGCTTGCACAGGTTAGAATTGCCAATGCTGGTTGACAGCGCAGTGCTGGTAGTCGAGGAGGAAGAGCTGGTGCGGGTGGACGCAGCGAGGAGGGTCGCCGAAGCAGAAGTTGTGGCGAAGGCAGTCGCGCGGGCGGAGGTGGAAGACGAAGACCCAGAGGAGCCGGTGCGGCAGCGTCCATCGGACGTGCAGGTCTGGCCGGCGTTGCAGTATGTGCCGGCGCCGTCGCCGCAGCAGATACCAGTGCTGGGGATACAGAAGTCGCCGCACTTCTTCTTTCCAGTGTCGCAGGTGGCGGTTCCAGTGCAGGTCTTGCCGACGGGGCAGCAGCCCTCGGACTGGCAGACGTAGCCGGCTTTGCAGGAGGCGCCGTTTCCGTCGCCGCAGCAGGTGTTGGTGATGGAGATGCAGTAGTTGGTGTCACATGTCTTCTCGCCAACCTCACAGCTGGACTGGCGGTTCTCTAGAAGAGGAGGGAAGTTTGCGACGCCTCGGGGCAGGAGGTCTTCTTGGACGCCAGCGGGGATATTCTTGCCCTCGAAATCGAAGGCGAGAGCAAACCCAGCCAGGGCAAGGGCGTGAATAAGACGGACCATGGTGTAAGCGGTTGGTAAGAAGGAAGACCAAGTTGCAATATTAAGTCGAAGGGTGAAGAGAAAGAAGGAATGAATAGCAACCCCGTGCTCAAGAAGAGAGGAAGGAAAGAGGATGATGGGGATATCGACAGAAGAGGTCCCGGGACGAGGTGGGGGATACCGAGCTCTTCATATATGCAGTCCCAGCTGCATGTCACCGAGCCAAACGAAGTCAATCAGAAGCCAGGCCCGTTCTGCCTGCCTGTCAGTGAACCACAACAACCGACGAAGAAGAGTCTGCCTTGTGCTAGCGTGGCAACAGGGAACCTGGACCAAAGCGCTCAGAGGAGCGTCCATGGGCTGCCCTACCATTCTGCATTAGCCTGTGGTTTGAGACTGCAGTAGCGCAATGAGAATTTCCCGAAGAAGGAGATGAGCAGTCATCCCTGCAAGGCCGTGTTGCTCGTGTCTGCCCTCCCATGCTTTCATCTAACTCCTGCACCAGGAGCGGGCAAGACTCATCAATATGCCAAGACAGTGACAGTGAAAGAGCTCAGAACATGTCAGCCTCGAAGGCAAACTTGACACTCAAGAGGAGTGAGAAATCAGGGGTGATGGGGTTGACACCAGAGTGAGTGACCGACACCAAGCGATGGAATCAGTCACCGTGGAGGGTGGAGCCTCATCTCTCAGCTGTGAGCGCTCTGTGGGTGCGTGAGTGAGTTGTTTGCAGTGGTGGGTCATGACTAAAGGAATCAGAGACCTCTAGCAGGCTACACATCGGCAAGCTGGCTGGGGCGAGAGCCATGGGGCTTGGCTTCTGTCGCATTGATGGTTGTGCGTCTGGACAGCAGAGAGCAGAGGGCGACGGAAGTGAAGCTCATGCTGATGCCTGTCTGGCCTCTTCCCTCGAGAGTTGTCCCTGGGTGCAGGTCTGGTGGGTGTAGACTCCCAATTTCAGGCAGCGATGGTGATCGTCAACCACTAGACCAACAGCAGGTCGGCGCATCAAAGAAGCATCACATTACCTCACAAAAATTAGTCCCGGGTGTCGCATGGCCGTTGGGATGGATGGTGGAGGACTGAAGGGCTCGGGATGTGGGTGGCGGGCAGTGCAGCCCAGAAATGCAGCCAAGGGGCCTCTGATCGCCAGGCGGCACCTCACTACCCAATAGGCGGGTTTGGCTGCAACTGCCCCCTGAAGCTGGCCCTGGCAGCACTCCACAGGGCTGAAAAGCTAATGCAACCCTGCTAAACCCCGCCTGGATGGTTAAATTTACTCTTAACCACTCAAAATTAATTCCTCGAGTCTCTGGTGCTTCGGTTGAACCAGGGTTCCAGCGCTATGCCTGTTTGCCGCAGTGCGCTGCCCATCCATCGTATCTCTCGTGTCTGTAGCTGAGTGAAGAATTTTGAAATTACCACACAAAGGACCTCTGCGCTGGCCATTTTTCTCACCACCCTTTTGGTAATACGAGCAATTAGCCATATCAAAATATGAGCAATGCCCCTATCATGAACCCACAGCCTCAGCCGCCAAGACCTGCTATTAAACCATGGCAGGATGATCATCGTCAATCATACGGCAATGCGTGGAAACCGGCCAGATCCAATTGAGAGCGTAGCCCTATGACCTTGGCATACCTACCACATACCATGTCTTCTGGCACAGTCAGACAATGCACTGGTATGGCAGCAGAGAGAGTGAAAGCAATCAGAATATGCAATGTATCCGCCACTGTGGTCCTCGAACTGATAACCATATCCAGAAGAGGGACAACCCTATTTCTCCATGCCTGCTCCATGCTCTGTTAGGAACCCCCCTCCTCCCCGTCCTCATGCCGCAGGTGTCATGGATGTCGGTGTAGCGGGATCGACAATCAATGGCCTGCCCAAATGCCATGATGAAGAAAAGACGTACAAACGCGCTGGTTACGCGTGACCCACACCCAAGATCTAGGCCACGGTCGACTGGAAATGTTCTTTTTTTGGCAGCAGAGTGCAGCCATCACCGCCTACTTTTCGTTCGGCTTTAGCTCACTACCTAAGGCAGATTATGACCCGCGGAGGAATAGGATGTGCAGCAACCTGCCAGATCGGGAACACGCTGCCAGATTGATTCTCCCTCCCGCCAACCCAGCTGCCCATCTTTACATCCTCACGAGAAGGAATCATCCAGGAGAGTGCTCTGGCTCTCGTGAGTTGCACTCTCCCTTCACCTACAACCCAATTTCACGAGCCAGGACCAAAAGTGACGCCAAAGATTCTCACCGACCCGACGCCTCCCCGTTCGGGTGGTCCTTTCTCCCGCATGTTTAATAACAGGGAGCGCGGTGGCTGACACAGCGATGGCCGGTGTGCTAGTACTAGCTGCATCGACTCCAGAAGGGCTTGGCCGCTTCTGGAATTCTGTGCGACAGCTCACGGCCGTGCGTCTGCAGCCGTAGCGCAGAGGCCAACCCGATGGATGGCACATGGTAATGAGAATTTCATGCCGCGAGCGTGAGCGTGCTTCAAGATGAAGACTATGGAGTTGGAATGAGATGGAGACGTTACAGCCACCACACCTGGGTACTGCTTCCCTGCGTGCATCTGATCAGCCACGTTGTAGTGCATAGAGATTATCAGCCAATCCAACAACTCTAAATTAGTGTTTTTGTTCCAGATGTGAGGGAGTCAGCAGTGATTTTTACACCAATTGGGGGCCCTCCTTGTCCAATATTCAGCTACTGGCAAGGATCTTCTCACCAATATTATTCCATGCAGCATCAAGGATGAGCCAATTGGTCTGGGATTACACCCGATGAGACATCAACTGGCGTGGTGGCAGAGTGGTCTAATGCGCAAGACTAGAAATCTTGTTCCTTCGGGAGCGTCTGTTCGAATCAGGCCCACGTCGACACTTTCTTTTTGGCATTCCGGCATTGATAATGATCAATCAATCAGTAAATCAATCCTTAAATTAATACACGGGAAAGAGATTCCCGTCGTAAATGCTGTAGGTTGTATCCCTACATGCATGTTGTTGTAATTCTCACCTCACATACGCCTACCCTACACCAGGCGGATGACGATAACTTCAAGTCTTCCAGTGAAGAGTAGCATACCTAGGCCGCGAGAACCCAGAAGAACAATAGGTACAAACAGTGCTTTTTTTACGTATCTTATAAAAAGAGCAAGCCTTTCACTACATGGGCCTTTTCCAGAGTCAAAGCCGTAGTAATTGCATAATCACATTTCTTGCAAATAATTTGTTTAATGCGCAAATTTTATAGAGCATCGTCTGACTTCTCCCTCAGGATCAATCCTTCATGTCAGCTTGCCAATTACAACTCTCTTCACTTTTGATGCACACCTTTCGTCATTTTAGAGAATAATAGGTACCTCCGATGGTTCTAAATCATGTAATAAGAGGGAAGCATATTTCCTAGAACAGGAACATTGAATCTACACGTAGCCATCAGCATTACGAACCGCCAATGTCGCAGATTCTAGAAGACCGAACAAGCCTATGTCGGCAATGGAGAAAAAACAGCCAGGTAGAGAGTTGTCCAAATCCATGAGTGCTATACGAACTCCGTATCTCTTTACGGCGCGATTCTGTCATCTCGCCGGTTGGCTTTTAAGTGTCGAGGCAGAAGAGGATCCGATGCATGGCTATAAAACTCCGTTTCTGAAGGTCGCTTGTCTTGTGTTGGAACTTTTTGATGTCACCTGCCCCTATATGAATCTATTTTTTCATTCTTATAGATGCTATTAAGTCATTCTGGAGATTTTACGGCATGATGGCCATATACTAATGCTGAAGTGTGACCCTCCTGTTTCCATAAACACTAAGAAATCGACAACTTGATGCTAATCCTAGTATCACAACACGGCAAACACATCAAAGTTTAGTCTTTTTGCCCGGCTATGTATAGCATTTAACGCCAACAATGGCCTGTGTTTACATGATGACTTTGTTTTTGTTTTTGTCTCGCTGCCCCCAACATCATTCTTTAAAGTATTGAAGGTCACAAGACCCAACTGCGTCTCTGGCTCATTACCTTTTCTGATAGTTCCACAGCGACTTTCATCGACCTCCTGTCCTGAGGATCCTTCGGGTACCTCGATCGTATCCTCTCTTCTTCTATACAAAAAAAGCCCGGAGTTATTAGATCGAGTTTTCGATAGCGTAACTAGAGTTGCAACAAGCTTGATCATGCCTACATGTACTCTATCTGATCGCACCTACGGCTCCAACTCCAACCACACTCTTTATTTTGGCACCCTCGCTTGCTTCTCAAAGTCAGCGTTGATATCGACATCCTCTAGAACAACGTTGCTGTTCTTGGCTGCATTGATTCGCATCTTCCTCAGATGCCAGGTCTGCCGCTCGGTGTGTCTCGTGAGCCACCAAGTCCACATAGTAGCAAGGATGCAAACCCCGCTCATCCCCATTGCCACGGCGAACGAGGCTGTATATTTGGGAGCGTACTTGGACTGGAAGATCTGCGGCCCGACGATCGTACCAATCTGACCGAGGGAGTTTGAAAAGGCAATGGCAAAGGCCGAACCAGTGGCCTTGGATGTAGTTTGGAGGCGCCACGGCCACATAGTTGAGAACCAGGCCAAAGACGCCGAAGCCGCAATGGTCGTGGCGGCATATACGCCTCCGAGGTTTGGATAGGTGACCATCACCGCGTAACATGCCAATGTAGTGACCATGTAGATAATTGCGATGAGAGGATACGGCACACCCTTCCGGCCAGTCAAGTACGCGCTGAGGCCAATGAGGAACATGGGTATAACCGCAGAAGGGATAGTGAGCAATTGACTTTCGGCGATGGACCTGTGGGAAGAAAGTCAGATGTGTGTCGGCATGAACTCTTGGGAAGTGACTTACACAAGCCCCAGATCTGCTACGATGGTGGGCAGGTAGAACGAGAGACCTGAGCCTCCAATTGTCTTTGTCGCCCAGATCAGAGTGAACCACCAGAGACGCTGGTCCTTGAGACTCTCCCAAATTTCGCTCATGTTAAAGTCGGACTCATTTGATCGAGGAGCGTTTGCAGGGAGTCGCGCTTGGAGGAACCTCTTCTCCTTGTCGGTAAGCCATTTTGCCTGTTCAGGGACTGTATCAAGATGTAAGCCTTCATTATCCTCATGAACTGGGTGAGCCTTCTTACAATCAGGGAAAATCCACCAAAGTGAAATACCGAAGAGAATCGTAAATATTCCCTCAACAAGGAAGAACCTATGAGTGTGAACGAACAAATTAGTCGAGGATTGCGGGTATATAAGATGGGTATACTTACCATTGCCAACCGGACAAACCACCTCGTCCAGATATACCGTTGAAGCCAAAAGCCAGGACAGCACTGACAATATTGGCGAAGAACTCGAAGGAGTCTGTTGTAGAGACATGAGTCAATTGTTTTGTTATACTGGGAGGGTAGGTGTAGATGATGACGCACAGAAAATCAGAAGCCGGCTCGTCATCTCATCAGCCCGGTACCAGTATGTTAATTGCAGAATGATGCCGGGGAACATTCCAGCTTCGGTCTGCATGTAGTTAGCATTGCATTGACGGAAACACTGCTACTGCTGAAGTAATTCACTGACAAGGCCAAGGAAGAATCGAGCTGTCAGAAGTCCCGCTTTGGACGTGACTGCAGCATGACATGCCAGTGTGATTCCCCAAGTCACCTTACCAGGTCAGTTTTCATGTACGATATCAGCTTGAGAGAACCTATAGACAGACCATAATTCGCGACTGGAACCTTGAAGGGAGCACTTTCTTCATGATCAAGTTCGATGGTATCTCGAACACAATAAAGGGGATCTGTATTCACCATGTCAGTTCTAAACTTCGGGATATCGGCCAATGAGAAATCATACGAGGTATATTGTGCTGACCCAGTTGTAGTCATTAGCAGTCATTTTGAGCTGTGTCATAATGTTTCGGTCGGTTCCACGGTTCATGATACGAGCATGCGCAGCCTTCAGAATTAGCTGGGCTCCTATGGACTGTGTGCTCCATGTTCTGGACAGCACCAAGGTCACTCGGACTCACATTGTTCGCATCGACATTCTTGATCATGAAAATGACGGCACACAATATCACGAGGCGAATATCTACACGACGCAGCAGCTTCTTCTCCTCTTCGTACGAGAGAAGACCTCGGTCCTTCATGCGTTCATGGTCATAGCCAGTGATCTCGGCTGCATATTCTCCATCGACATCCGCGTCTCTGGGTTGGATGTGCAATTTTCCTTCAGCGGAGGTCTCTTCGCTCCTCGTGATCGGGTCTGTCTTGTCAGCGACGTGGGACGCCATAATGGAGACAAGAAGTGGTTGAAATGGATCTCTAGAGAAGAGACGTCTGAGTTCACACGAGCCAACAAACGAAGTCACTGAGAGACATGCGCTTATAAACTGTTTAGTTCCTGAGGGGCAAGCATGCCAAGCCGGATTTGAGGCTGTTTTATGCAGCCCTGCTTGGTGCTCTTGCAACCGAGAGCATGAATTTTTATCTGATGAGATGTTACCCAATGATTGGCCGGAGATGGATACCATATTAGGGTTTTAATCAAAGTATTATCAACCTTGTAAGCACAGCAATGTTTGATGGGAGGAACGGGGAGTGGACATAACCGCCATCGTGGGGGTTGGCGGCACACTATCCCGGTTGGCTTCTCACACGTCTCGTAGCTGAGCTCGGAGTCCGAGCACCCTGGCTTTTGCCCCTGCCACTCACTTATTAGAACAACTCCAATTATGTGCATTGGGAAGGTTAGATGGGAACTTTTAGAACGTCAATGAGAGTAAGATCAACGCCTGGTGTCTTGAAGTGTTGCAGATCCTCGTCGTGGGAGGCGAAGTTCTTGTGTTCCTTACCTGGAGGTTGCTTGGTTCACGTCACAGTAGCGTGGGTTGTTGTACATAACTTGGGCCAGAAATCTGTGAAAAGAAAGCTACACTGCCCTAGCCGAGAGCTAGAGGTTATCAATCTTGACAAGGTAGGGGGGAGTACAACGGCCCCTTCTATTGGACTTAGACTGCATGCCGCTCGCCCGCTTGTTGTTAGACGCCCACAATGCGGAGGAGTGGGCAAGGATACTGCCGTTACGGGATATTTGCTTTAGTCACGAGGACGGAGGAACTAATCAGATCTTTCAGGGGCGAACGTGACTTGGACGGGGTTCACTAATGCTACACCTCTTCGCGTATTTCCACCTACCATGAACTGGGTGTGTTGAACGCCTCTCGGGATTGACCGGTGTCAACCGCACGCAGCCCTGTTTCCTGTTTATGGTGGGTTTCTGATGGCAATCTCAACCCCATGTGGCTTTGTTCATCACCTGCTAGGAGGAGTCGATGGTGTCGGTGTTTTTGCAGCCGATATCCGTCAGACTTAATTCATCGAATTCCACCACTTCCGTGCCACTTAAACAGCACAAAGAAGTCTAAACAAGTAAAGATTACTTAGTTTTAACTAAGCAAGGTCACGGCCGGTTTTGTCATGTTCATGGACCCATCCATTCGTCCGTCCATCCTCCGGCCCATCAGTGACTGACGGAACTCATTGACTGCCCTTGGTAGCGCTCAAGGCCCTCCTGGTCCTTGTAGTCCTCTACTTTCGGGGTCATCTGTTGAATGGCCCGAATACCACCGTGTGTATTGTCTGCGTTATAGCCCTTGGCTCGCAGGACGCTCGTGGCGACGCGAGCAGAGTCGCCATCGTAGCACATTATTAGCGAGTGTTTGTCCCGAAGTTGTGAGCAAATATCTTCGTCGTTGGACTCGAGCCTTGCCTCGAATTCTTTCCAAAGCCACGCCATTACCTTGGGGTCGGAAAACGGACTGGCAGTGCTGTCCTCGACCAACGGGAAATTGAGAGATCCAGGTAGGCTGAAGCGCTCGTAGTCCTCGGCCTGTCGCAGGTCAATGATGACTGTGTCTGAGCAAGGAGATAAGATTTGCTCCCAGCCTTGGCGTTCGCTCGCGCGCCTTTTGGACATAAATAGCAGAATATCCCTGTCCAGCACGTTGTTGACACGATAAAACTCGGCAAGAGCAGTCAGTGGTTCCTTTTCCCAGGCCGAGTCGTACCGGTACAAGTCAACATCTGCTAGTTCCTGTGAAGCATCAAATTAGCCTAAAGACTCCAGCTGCCTTGAAAACGGAGACTCACAGAGTTGCTGATGGCAGGGAAGTGCTCGGATCCCAACTTGGCGAAATACTCGTCGATGTACTGGTACGGAAGATCGCAACAGAGGAAAGCACAATGAATCTGACCATCCTCACCTGCCAGCTCAGTCAAGGTTCCCTCATTCTTTCTCTTATCGAGGAATTGAAATAAGCCTTGGAGGTTGAAGCCAGACGATGGACCGCTGACGATACCGTTACGGCAGAGCTGCAACGAGAGAGAGAACGAATGATGGGATCCCACTTCTTCGATGTGGTCGACGGACGACTTCCAAGGGAAGTTGACTGGGCCAAGTAGAGCCAAAGATCGAGGCCCTGGTACCCGGTCACCTGCAGCAGTGCACACACTATGATGGCACCTGGTTAGACTAATATTCGGAACTGAGCTATGAGAAAACATACCCTAATCGGAAGACAGATGGTTTCTGTTCCTTAAAGAAGCTTCCAAGGCCTGACATGGTCCCTGAGTATCGAAGAAAGATTAACACTGGTAATGCAAATCACAGAGTGTTGTCCAGGCTGGGGTATACCTGAAGTGCCCATTCCCGCGCAGATCAAGTTGATTTCGGGCAATTGTTCCAGGATCTGAGGGCCTGTCCATCGGATGTGGGATTGCCAATTCTTGATTGTTTGATTAGTAATTTCTAATAACTATGATACTTATTGACTCTAGAACTCACAAGATCGTTGTCATACTGATCAGGATTGCACACGGACTCGGAATTTTGTGCCAAGCGGTACGCGGCGCGGATACCTCCACGTTCATCTTTCGGTTCTGGCTGAGAAGGGCCGCCAAACAGAGTACTGCCGCGAAAGATGTTAGTAAACGCGGAGCTCTTCTGACATTGTTCTCCAACCAGGTGCTCTTCAACTTACATGTTTAGACCAAAGAACTGCATCAGTCTCAGTTTTGCGGCGGTGGTTTTGTTGCTCAAAAAGGCATGCACATCGTCCAAGCCGTGGAAAACCCGTGAGATCATCGCCATGGAGATGACGGTCGACCCGGAGCTGTATTCCACGACTGTCTTAGTTTTTACGGGATCAACGCCATGCTCGAGAAGATTCAATGCTGTGTTGATTGTTTAGCACAACACATATTTCAGGCCTTGTAGCCAAATGGTTGGATAACAATGGGTGACCTACCTGGCATGGCCTTGACGTTGTTTGCGGGATGCATCGTCATCATCTTGGCATAGATGCGTACTCCATCTTTATGGTATGGATTTAGGGACTCGGGAAGTTCTACCAGAGGCAGTGGTGGTGCAATATCAGGATTGAAGTACGCCTTGAGGGCATCAGGCCCCTTGTAAACATTGAGATTATTCCTCGTTTGCATCGTCGAAACTTTATCAAATAATGAGAATGGGGGAGCTATTGACAAAGACGTGTTATTAGTGCTGATGAGTTGGGACAAGAGAATAAGAGGGCAGGTGAGAATAATGGCTTTGCGGTTGTATTGATGATATCTTATCAAATCACTACCAGATTTTCAGACAGAGGCAGGAGGTGGGCTCTGATATTATTCCCAGTTTTTGCTCTGATGACGCCGAGGTATCTAGAAGGCTCAACACCCGGATCATCAACGCAGCCAGTCAGCCACCTATTCAGCAGAGTTACATCATGGACGGATTAGACCCATTGTTCGATGTCACCATATGGCCATGAAGGTCCTTGCCTGGTCAAGTAAGAAGCTAGCAATTGCCGCTTCTAGGATTGTAGTTTCTCGGATCACTCTTCGTAATCCGAGAAAACCTCTTTATCATGGTTGAAAGTATCAAGCTTGGATTTAGTCATGCATAAATGAGAGGATGATGACATTTAAGCTGCCAAACTCGACATGGCGTACATGTCGTGGGCCAGCTAAATCCACACGCCTAGCCCTGTGTGTGTGAAATTGTAGCGTAATTCACGAGCCATGGTTATTCTACCGTATTGAGACATATGTTGATCCTAAGCGAAGGGCGTTTGACCATGAATCTAATTAGACTTGTTTCCACATGTAACATGACGAGATCAGAGGTACATTCAAATTATGTGGGTTGGGTTGCCACAAAGGTTCTTCGGCAGTCTAAAGAGATTTCCAAGGAGATTTCTTCACGTCATTTTCAGGATATCGGGGGAAGTTGGTCTCCGTTTCTCGGAGCCTGCCATACTATAATTAGATGACAAATTTCATACCCAGTTTCTGTTGCTAGAATCCCACAGACACCTGAGTAACCTGCTTGTTTTGCTAAAAACAGAGTAGTATCTGCAGCTCTGCCTAGTTTTATCCATCAGCAATGAGCCAGCTCATTAGTGACGAGAACCGAGAGCCTCAGGCAATGGCTTCTGCGGACCCTCAGAAGTCGGATGCTTCGACAGAATCACCGACGGCCATAGACACAAAAGGAGAGGCACAGGTGTTCAACGAGCAGACCAACTACGTTTCCAAAAGCAAAATCATCACGGTAGAGTGCCACACAACCCCTTTCAATACACTAGGGTACCGGTCATCCTAACTACTGCAACTAGATCTTTCTGGCATGTGCCACCGTCGATCTGGTGGCACTCATGGACCAGACCACCCTGGCTGCTAGTTTGACCATCATCGGCAATGCGCTGCAGGCGGGACAGCAGCTGTCTTGGCTAGCCAATGGCTACTTCATGTATATTCACTGAGCTCCGAGGCGACTCCCGCGCGTCTAACACGTTTGCAGAACATCCACGGTCGGGCAACTCTTGTACGGCCGCCTCTCGGACATATGGTCCCGCAAGGCCATCCTCATGATCGGGCTGGCCATCTTCGGCATTGGGTCACTGGCGTCATCACTGGCCCAGACAGCCACCCAACTCATCATCTTCCGCTGCTTGACCGGTTTTGGAGGCGGCGGGCTCATGACGGTTGCGCAGATGATTGTCAGTGACGTGGTGCCGTTGCGAGAGCGAGGCAAATACCAGGGTATCCTGGTAAGTTCCCCGCGAGTCCTGCACCTCCCACCGCCGGATTATCAGATCCATCAGATTAGATTAGGCGAGACGCCGTTGGTTCTACATCATCCACCCCCCAAGCTAATGCCCGTACCTCGTTCATATAGGGAGCGGTCACTGCGCTGGCCAATGGAATCGGCCCCGTGATCGGTGGTGCCCTCTCGTCTCGCGGAGGTGACTCCTGGCGTTGGATCTTCCGGCTCAACCTGCCGTTGACGGCACTGTCCGCAGTATGCGCGCTATTCTTCATGCCACTAAAGCGAGTGTCGGCCGAATGGAGGGTGTAAGTGCTGCGTCCAAATGTGTACAAGTTTGCCTATGTTGACGACCCAATGTAGTAAGCTGCAGGCCATCGACTTCACCGGAATCCTGTTAGCGTTGGCCGGCACCACCAGTCTCATGCTCGGCTTGACTTGGGGCGGCGGCGAGTACCCCTGGAACTCTGCGGCTGTTCTCGCAAGCCTGCTCGCTGGTCTCGCTGTCTGCGTTGCCTTTGTTCTATGGCAGTGGAAAGGGGCGAGTTACCCGCTCATGCCCGGTACGTCCCGTTCGGCACTTTTCCTCCATTCTAACTCCCGCAGACGGCTTACTCTGGTCCCTGTCGAGGGGTTATAGTGGACATTTTCCGTTCTCGAATGACGGCAGGGGCATGTATCACCATGTTCATCAACGGCTGGAACTTCGTCGTGCAGGTCTACTACATCCCCACCTTCTACCAGCTCGTCTACAGCTACGGGGCTACTAAGGCCGGCGTCATGCTGCTGCCCATCACGCTCGTGCAAACCGCAAGTAGTACCCTCTCCGGGCTGATAGTTCACTGGGTGGGACGGTACCGTGAATGCATCCTTTTTGGCTGGGCTTGCTGGTCTGTTGGCCTGGCCCTCATGTCCACCTTGGATGAGACGTCAGGCTTGGGCAAGCAGATCGGATATTCCCTGCTTATTGGTATAGGGGTCGGGAACACGCTCCAGCCGTAAGTGTCTGGGTCTGATCGGCTGTGTCCAGCCCCTTTTGGCTGATTTGGTGATTCTAGAGCCCTGATTGCGATCCAGGCAGGAGTGCCACGAAAGGACATGGCTGTTGTTACATCATTCCGCAAGTAAGTCTTCTAGTAACCCCTGGCAATAAAATGACCACATCTCATATTTTGTCACAGCTTTGTCAGGAATTTAGGGGCCACTTTTGGCCTTGCCATCTGCGGGACCATCTTGTAAGTCAGTCCATGAAATTTGTGAAAGTATCTGGTTGTGCTAAGTGATATTCAAGGAACAACGTCGTCCGAGATTCGGTAGACAGCCTGGATTTGGAAGCTGAACCTCGCAATGACCTACTACGTAATCCGCAGCAATATCTATCGAAGCTATCTGATGTAGATGCCGAGCACATCGGCGCCGCTCTTGCGCCAGCCTACCGGAGGTCATTCAAAATCATCTTTCAACTTGGCGCGGGCCTCGCAGCTTTTGCTTTCTTTGTGGCTGTCTTTCTAATGCCACATATTGACTTAGCTCGTCCAGACGATGCCAAACTGAAGGAAGAAGGTCGCCAACCACGCGTCAAGGAGAAATCCGAAGCATCTGCATGAACTGGGAGGAAAAGAAATGATCTGCAGTTTCGTTGTCAATACATGGTTGACTTGGGTCCTAAACTCAGCAAGGTTCTTGGGCTGAAAAGATGATGCCATTTACGCTACAATAGATTGAACAAATAGCCAGACTTAGCACTTTTAGAATGCATTGATCACTCCTTACTTTTCAACTAAACTTGGCAATAAGCGTGATGATCAAAAATTCCTTACTCCACACATGCACCTTGTTGTTCTTCGTAGTGAGCTGAACTACCCTGACGGTAACCATGATTGAGTCGCCTAGGTCGTAAAGTAGGAATGAGTTGTTATGCTTGATGCTCAGCAGCTAAGACTAATAAAATTGGTTGTCAGTAGTTGTCACCAATCCACATCGCGTATGCATCTCGTAAACCGAGCCGCAAATCCCTGACGCTAAATGGCAAGCTGAATTTCACGCAACAGGCATTGGTTGGTCCTGGGATTTCTCACCTGGGGTTTTGTCCATTGCGACCATCAAGGTGTCACCATCAAGGTCTTCCTCCCGGCCGTTTTGACGTATGGGGCATCATCCTTGGCCAAGCTACCCCTGTCTTTACATATGCAACCATATACAGCTTTGCCTACATTTACACCCCGTCCCCATGTAACTAAACCAATCCACATGTACCTCGGAGACTCGGCACAGGTACTTGACATTGGGAACCTGAGCGGGTGGGAAACGTCTGCATCGGCTGTCGTTTCCTCGATAATCAATCTGATTAAAATTCAAAATCAGGTTGAGAAACATCTCGTGTCCACCTCTTAATCACTCAGTAGCATTGGACTTCGGAGTTAAAGCGTTTGGAGGAATAATTGTGGATTAGTAGCTGTTCACGTAGGTTCATCTGCTGTGAAGTTGTCTGTTGCCTCATCATCATGGGTGACCTGAAGCGGAAAAGAGAGCTTCGAAGCTTGGGTTGTATGTAAAGCAGGAGGAGATTGGAATCATTACTGGGAACACTAGTCGCCGATTAAGCTCCGAGAGAGAATTGGTAAATCCCAGCTCATGAGTTCCCAGGTCTTAGAGGTCATCGTCGTTAAGAGGCTTGGCCTGCTACGTTTCCCAATACTGCATCGGTCTATGAACTTTTTTCTCAAACATCTCCCAAAATGCTTCGTGAAACATCCTTAGCCGTCTTGGCCGCTTCATGGGTCGTCCCGTGCCTGGGAACTGCTGATCCTCAAAGGCCTTTACTAAAAGACTTTGACGCTCTCGGAGCTTGGTACAAGGACGTGGCCTCCATCAATGCAACGACATCCCTTCAAGATGTCGAGAAAGCGAAGAACACATCCATTGCCATTGTTGGCGCCGGTATCACTGGCTTAGCCACTGCCCTGTTCCTAGACAGCGTCGGTGTCCGCAACTGGGAGATACTGGAGGCCAGTCATCAGGTTGGCGGACGTCTGCGGACGCTCTACGTCGGCGATACTCAGGAATGGGCAGAGATGGGACCCATGCGGCTCCCGTATCGGATCAAGTACAAGAGTGACAACGCTACACTCGAGTACTCGGACCATGCCATGACTTTCCAGTTGGCAGACTGGGTCAATGAGCTGAATCAAGGCAGCCATGATGACCTCAAGGTCACCTTCATCCCTTGGATCCAACACTCGCCAAACGAGTTGCTTGGTCTCGGCACTGGCCGGCATCCCGATGGCAGCATTCCTACACGAGCAGAGATTGCCGCAGACTCCAGCCTGGGCAAACCAGCTCCGTTAGACACGGAAGAGTACAAGTCCACCAAGGCAAAGATGAACGAGATCCTCCTCAATGAAGCGACCCTCAGACAGATCCAGAGAGATCCGTGGGGCGTTCATGGCCGCGTCATGAAGCAGGGCCTGGACGACATAAGCCAGCAAAGCATGATGCGCAACTTTTGGAACGCGAGCACTGAGGTGGTAGATGCCGTACATGGAGCGACTGATTATGATGTCTTTTGGGATGAGATGCACCACAACTCAAACCTCGCCCAAGACGGCAGCAAGAGCACGCTTGGTGAGACGGAGTGGCGATGTGTCGACGGTGGCTTCAGCCGCCTCTCGAATGCCATTCTCCCTCATGTCCAAGACCGCCTGATCCTGGATCGCCAGGTCCGCAAGATCGAAGCCGTCAAGGACGAGCAAGGCAAAACCACGACGGGCACCAAGATTTCCTGGGTTGATGTCGATGCCAACAGAACGCAGACGAAGCCGCAGCCCCAAGAAAGCAAGAACTATGACTACACCATGCTCACAGCCCCCTTCACCATGACGCGGCTGATGAGTCTTCCGCAGTTCTCGCCGACCCTCTCGCGGGCCATGGCTGAGCGCGGTCTCCGCTTCAAGGACGCCTGCAAGGTCGCGTTGCTCTTCAGCGAGCGCTTCTGGGAAAAGGGCGAGCGCCCCATCTTCGGCGGCTACTCGACGCCGCCTGATGCCGCCGTCGGTGCTCTCTACTACCCAGTCTACGGGCTCAATGAGACGGGCCGCCCGGGCCTGATCATGCACTACCGCGGCGGCGACTGGAGCAGCCGCTTCGCAAGTCTCAGCGAAGAGCAGCATGTGGGCATGGTCCTTGACGCCATCGCCTCGCTGCATGGCGAAGAAGTCCGTGAGCTGTATACGGGCGAGTATGAGCGTTTGTGCTGGCTCGACGAGCCCTTCATCGCCACGGCATGGACGCGTCCAGACGTGGCACAGCACGCTTTGTACATCCCGGCGTACCACAGGACCGAGTCCAATGTCATCGTTCTTGGAGAGCATACGGCGCCTACCCACGCCTGGATCAGCTCCTCGCTCTACTCGGCCGTTCGTGGTGCAGTTCAGCTCCTTCTAGAGATTGGGCTAATTGACGAGGCCAAGGAACTTAACCAACGATGGATGGGCCGATGGGTAAAGACGGAGTAGATAGTTGGTCACGTACCAGACGTGTGAATATCATCATTAAGATGTATATCTGTTTGGCGTAGCCCTTTGCCTATCGGAGTCTTGGAGCAGGAGAAGTACCGGTAGGGGGCATTATTGACCGAGCTAGGGCAATGAATGAAAAGGTACAATAGCATTTTATCAAATGAGCAAATTGATCTGACCAAAATTGGTAAAAAAGAATGATAGCATATTCATGTACCTGAGAAGTTACTATATCAAACTCCATCTTTCATTGTTCAATAGCATTTCTACTAGGTCTTCTCTAAAAAAGAATTGGTCCACCACTTATGCTGCTACCAACTTGCGGAATCTTCAGGATACCTTCATCCACCAGATCCATCGCCAGCCGAGCGAGTAGTCCGTCACAGCCCTTTGCAGCTAGAATACCCACTGCAACAGGCAGCTTTTCATCATGATTAGTCAAATTACTGAACTTCGACACTTCTCCTACGGGAAATATAAAATCTGGGCAGCCCGAGAAGACGGACATGCGGGCTGCTGAGAAACCCGTGAACGGCAAGGGAGGTGCGATATCATACCGGTTTCTCGGAGACTGTGTGCCTGTCTTGCCGGGATATAGGATGAGGGAAGAGGAGCATTGAAGGGGGTCGCTGGCTGGAGGCAGAATTTGACCATGAACCAGTCTGCAAACATGGTCTTGTTATGCAATGCTTCATCCCACGAGTAGTTGGCAGCCCATGCCCAGCGCGCGAGTGGGGATGGGTTGACGAATGGTCGACGGCCATCATGAAGACTTGCGTAGTCGGCGAAGAACTGATTGGTTAAGTTGTTTTGGCCCTTGCCTGTAAGTACTGGGTAGGTGATGTTGAACGACTCGGTAAAGTTGAGATTGGCAAAGGGGTCCGTCTTGCTTCTGGTCCAGGCACTGGCTACATCCAAAGTACTCACATTGCCGCCTAGGAACTTGGCCAGCGTCACTGCAAAATTGTTGAGAAGCCTGCCTGCCTCGGTGCTGGAGTCTGGGTACGCCACTGTCATGATGTTGACAGGGTACTTTGGCTGCAAGCTGGCCAAGGAGGTGTAATTGGACCCGTACATGACGGTCTGCAGCTTCTCCCATAGTGCGGGATCCCGAACAAGGAAACCGACGGTATCCAAGGGCTCGGAGAGGGGCATGACATGGTCTAAGCTGACAAGACCATGTGAGGCTCTGTTTCCAAAGACGCCACTGACGCCTGCAGGACTTCGTATGCTGCCGCCCGTGTCTGTGCCCACGGCGACGTCGAGCCAGTCGTACGATGCCACAGACGCACCGGCGCCGGAGCTCGACTCGGACGGATCCTGGTAGCCGTCGCCTCGGGGGTTGAAGGGTGAGTGGTAATCGACCCAATCAACCGTAGCGACCTCGCTTGTCGCGAACTGAGACAGCTTCTGCGTGCCCACAATGACAGCCCCCGCCTCGATGAGCCTGGAGATGGCAACTGCATGACGCTGCTTGGCGGGTATAAATGGTACCATGCCCTGTTGCCGTTGGACCGTTTGACGCCCGCAAGCGAGAATATGTCTTTGACGGCAATGCGGACGCCAGCAAGTGGCTTCTCCTTTGACGGCTTGTAGTACAATCGCGAGGGCACACCGATGGACGATGTGGCTGAGCCGGCAACCTTGGCCGACAAGACTTGGAAAGTGCCGTCATTGTTATCCAGCAATGCCTCAGTAAAGGCTCCGGCAAAATCGTCGTAGAGTCGGTAGGCCTGGTGTAGATTGCCGGTTGTCTTATCTAAAAAGTACGGCCCCTCGGACACTCTGGATTCTGCCATATAGCTGGCCACTGTCGAAGTGCCTTGGCCAGTGACTTCCACTTTTTGCGTGGTTGAGTTATTCAAGCTTTGTGTTTCGTTGAGCATCAGCTGTGAAAATCCTGGCTGAAACACATCATCGGTAGCGTTCCAGGATGTAAAGACCCTGGAGATGTCATCTGGCTGTGTTCCTGGAGGCAGAACGGAGACCGGAGCGAAACCAAAGACGCAGTCGATGCTGTCAAGCGCATGGATCTCAAGGGCGATACTGCCTACGGAGTGAGGGCTTATGTAGTATGGAACATTATTCAAGACAATAGTTGAGCCTGTTGAGGTGATTGAGGCCGCACAGACTGGCAAGAAGACGAGTAAGGAGAGACGCATCTTGTGCAAGCTCGCAATACTAGAGTTGAACAATGCGGTTCCTGATTGAGCTACAGCATTACATCCTTCATAAACAATTTGACCCGCCTGCTATGAGTTTTTTGAGGCCACCAAAACCATGCTCATCTAAGATGAATGCAAATGAAAACCACCGATCCCGGTGGACGAACCATGCTAATCCACAGAAAGATGAGGCGGATCAACGAGTCGCCCAGGGCAAGGTAGCTAGCTGGATTAGACCTTGAGGACCGACCCAGAGGTGACATGGGAGGCTACTTTATCAATCTCGAAAGTACATACGTTGCTTGAAACTCCTATAACGACACCCCCTAGCCCCATATGCCCATCTAGCCCCCCTGCAGGTCTCGGTAATCAACTCGGAAGTCGGAACAAACATGAATCATAGCTCGTACGGGCTGGAATGGCCCTGCCCTTGCAAATCCCTGGGTCCTGCAGGCCCCTCCTCCAGCCCATTTCCCCTCGCTTTGTCCTCTCGCCATCGCCAGTGAGGGTACATGTACGAAGTACTCTGGGACCCGTGTTCGAAAATGTCGACAGCATGCTACGTTAGCCTCGGAGTTAGTCGCCGAAACGAAAAGAGAGACGTGATGTGTATGGACAGCCAAACCTTTCCAAGGACAGGGAGAAATTTGGCTCCATGTCCGCTCCCACCCGTGCACACGAACAAGGACTGATCGTCATATGACGGGACGTAATCAATCTAGGGGATCCGGTAAGAGTCGGTGCTTCTTTGGATTGGGGCGCTTGGTCGATGGATTGGGGGAAGCTTACCAGAAACGAATTGTCAAGGGAGTCCGTGTACCAGCAGAAATTTGTGGAATTGAATGGTCTGTTGGCAAATTCAGGCAGGAAGATGGACACGAACTGGCGAATAGCTTCAGTGGCAGGCTCGGGGAGCGACTTGGACTGGGCATATGGGAGTGGAATTGACCACTTGCCATCCTGTGTGAAAGCCGTCCCCGGAGGCGCGGGCACAAAATTCGTAAACTACCAAGATGCTGCGTTGAGTGCAATGCTACCTCTTGGTTGATGCCAATGAAGGGAGCCACTTACCTTGATGCCTCGGTAACCAATCTTGATGAGCCCATTCTCAGTCCTAGGGAACACATAGACGCTACCTGTATCTTTTCCATTTCGATCTCGAGGTGCGCTCTTCCACGTTAGCACGGGGAATCTGTCTGGAGCATACTTGTTCCACAAGTCAGTTTCCGTCTCGTTAATCTTGAAGGTGGCTACACTGCCAGCGGAGGACTCAAGGTGGTATGATAGGTCTGGCAGAATCTGAGTTGAGAATGACCCGGCTAGTTGCACATATTTAGTTAATTTGACGCCTACATGCCGTTCCATTGGAATAGGGCAACCTTACCAGCAATGATGACAGTGTCGCTGTGGTGGACGACTCCATCGCCTGTCTTGATGCCCACGGCCTTCCTCCCATTTCTACCAGGACCACTCGACCCTCCCTCGACAACCAAGGATTCACAGCTTCCAGCGTCTGCTCCGACCACGAACTTCACCCCCTGAGAAAGAGCCTTGCCCAGAAGGTAGGCGCAGGCTTCACTACACTTGACAAAGCCAGAAAGGGAATCGAGCACCGCTTCGAAGTGACAGCCAGCATCCTCGCCCGGGATGTTGAAATCCAATAGTTTATCCTGCCAGCCACGTTCGGCAGCTCGCTGGCGGTCATCAGCAATACTCTTCACGAACTGGGTGTCGCGAAGTCCATCTCTCTCCATGTTGGCCAGGGTTTCCTTCTCCAGCGCCCCCAGATGGGCAGACGGCTGGGCGCGGAGCATGCCACACCTAACAAACAATTCGCTGCCGCTATCTTTGTTCATCTTCAGCCACTCTTCGCGACTTTCGAGTGCTAATCTTTGGTAGTGTATTTTGGTCCCATACGATGGCCGCAGCTTCACACAAAGATGGTTAGACGGTGATTCATCGGCGCAGGATTGCAACCTACAATTTTGTTGTGATCAACCGACGCCACTTGGCCATGAGGGTGGTGCTCGGGGTCGTATCTCGACTGGATGTAATCATGTTGGTCAAATATTGTGACGCTATGCCCTGGTCTTCCTATGAGCTTCTTTTATCCATGAAGCAACTCGGTCATCAACGTTACCTTTAGATCGCAAAGCCAGAGACGCAGAAAGCCCAAATATTCCAGCTATTATAGTGGTTAGTATTTGAGACGTGTTAAGGACAAGGTGGTGAAATGTTGGATACACACCGCCGACAATGATAATCGTGCGATTTTGCGACATTGTAGGTCAATAAAACAGAAATAGGATAGATTTCAGCCTTTGATGTGCCAGGTGAAAGAGAAGCTCAGGTAGGTAGATACCTAAATTCGTAACGTGCAAGATATGGGCTTAATTAGTAAGTAACTATTTGTTAGGTGATACTATAAAAATATATAGTGCTATATTATAAAAATAGTATATATAATATATTAGCAAGAATTTATATAATTCTATAAAAAGTATTTTCCTAGCTATTTATAAAGAATAGCTATATATAAATTTCTGATTTATTTAAGCTAGAATAGCTCTTAAAAACCTACTTTATATAATAATCGAAAATAATATATATACTAGATTAGTTTATCTACTAGTGGAATATATTATAGTTATATAAAACTCAGAGATTAATAATATAATATTAAATAAGAGAGAGTAATTAAGATTTACATTATGTCTCTCTGAATATGACTTAAAAAAACCTATCGTACCTAACAACAAGTGCCTTTTCCCCTAAGAAGGAAGGGGTTTAACTATAAGGCAAGGTAGTAGTCGATAGATAAACCCTCGGGAGGTCCAGAAAGAGGGCAGATAGAGAGGCAAATAAGTCATCTTTTCCATCCCTTCAATTGACGGGTTCAACAGTTCTTGGAGCTTCTTGCTGCGGCACCTTCCACCTAAGCCTGTCGCCAGAGCTTGCCAGATACTTGTAATATATGAAATGTCAAAGAGGCGCCCAGAAAAAAGCCTAGATTGGAGCCCTGTAGGAGTGGCAAGGCAGTAAGGGTACACCCGGTCATTGCCGTACTGCATAGTGCTATGTGCCTCAGCCTTGTACCAAGGATACCTCGTCCTACATCGAGGATACCTCGTCCTGTACCAAGGATAATTCGTCCTATAGAAATGATAATTCTAGTCGGTACCCGAATGAGTATGTTATCGTGTTCCCTAAATGGGGTTTGACCGCTAATGTCACGGCCTGATATGTCCTGCTCAGGGTTTCCCTCGACATTGATGTTTAGACCCTCGACAATCGGCTCACTTGATGTTCTCGGATTCTGAAAAGCATAACGAGAACCCCTCAAGAAATCTCTTTAAGGGTCTTCGTGGCGCAACATTCCGATTTCAGAGCCACATATCAGGTGCCCTCTTCACACATCAGTGTGGGCTATCTGTGCGTGGAGAACAACGATCAACTTACAAAAATCCAAGTTATATTGATGCCGGAATTGGTGGCCCAAGGAGGCTATGTGATTGATTCGCCTTCTGACCTTGCTGGTAAAAGAAAATCTCGTGCGGGGAGCGCGGCATTATGCAGGAAGCTGTTCAGCTGGCCAATAATAAGGAATCAACAAGAATGATGATATCACGTGAGGAATTTCTTTCAGTCAGCTAAGAATCCTACCTGAATACCTAGCCTTACTTGCTTTCGTCAATCAAACCACATCTTGCGTACCCTTCTACGTGGCCTAGATACCATACTCAAGGTCAATAAAACGGACTGCTGCCAAGTATCCACCGATCAACATGGCTGAGGCATTCGCGATCATTGGTCTCACATCGAGCATACTCAAATTTATCGAGTTCGGCCTCACAATAACCTCTGCTTCTCGCACCATCTATCGAACAGAAGATGGTAAGGTGCCTGGAATTCAGGAGCTGGAGAGAGACCTGGATGAGATTGATAGAAGGAACCAGGAAGTCTTGAATCGCAACACGACTAGCCCGCTGTCCAAAGCGGAACGCCAAATATTTTCTACCGTTAAGGACACGGACAAGATATCTGACGATTTAAGAAAACTGGTTGCAAGGCTGGCCAAAAGACCAGCTGCAAAATCTAAAGCCTGGGAATCTAGTCGGATCGCGATTCAAGCCGCCATGAGTCGAAACGAGCTAGAAACATTGAGGCAACGCTTACAAAAACAAGACAAGAAGATAAGAGAGGGCTTGCGATCTCTTCTAGAGAGGTGAGAATGTGCTCGCATTGGCTAATTCCCTAGGGGACACTATTTAAGATCTCCTTGTTCTTTAATTTTCACCATCCTCGACCTCTATATCATGCATCATAGGTGGTAGCTGCTAACGTAATTAACCCAGAGACCGCCATTCGGAACTAATGGAACAGTTGTACTCTATCCAGCGAGCCCATATTGACCATTATATCAATCATGATATGAAATTTGAAAACCTTCAACGACAGATTCTTGAAATAACCGGCAGCATAGAAGGAACTCTGGACAACTTAGTGGCTCAGGTGACGAGTCTCCGAACTAAGATGGAAAGCCTCAACAGTGAGGCGGAGCTATGCAGGAAGCAAGCCAGGGTGATTAAAAGCCTCCACTTCACTGAAATCCATCGACGATGGGATAAAATTGATGACGCTGCCGAGAATACCAATGCTTGGCTCTTTCATCCATCGGAAGTTTCTTTCCCTTCCTGGTTGGAATCAGACAGCAGGAGCATGTATTGCATTGCCGGTTTGGTGAGCTATCTTGATTTTCACATTCCAATGCTTCAAAATACACCCAACTAATAAGTGCTTGTGTGGGCAGCCTGGGAGTGAAAAGTCTACGTTAATGAAATATGCATATGACCATCCATATACGATGCTTGGGCTTGAAAAATGGGCAGGCTCATCAAGGCTTTGTCTAGCAGCATTCTCCTTCTGGAACCAAGGATTTGAAATGCAAAAGTCCCAGGCTGGGCTCCTACAGTCACTCCTCTATCAGATCATGAGACAAATTCCTAGCCTCGTGCCACTTGTTGAGGAAAGCAAGCAGCTCCACGAGATTTGGCATTTCAGTGAACTGAAATCACTGTTCGCTCAGATCATGTCGGAGACTGCACTCACGACCAAGTTCTGTTTCTTCATAGATGGACTCGATGAATATTATGGGAATGAGGAAGATATAGCCAAGCTGCTTTGTTTGATCAGCGAATCACCTCACATCAAGATATGTGCTTCCAGCCACCCTCGCACTGTGTTTGACAAGACACTTAGGTCTGGACAGTACTTTCTTGCTATGCAAGACTTCACGAAGAATGATATGAGAAACTACGTGCGGACGAAACTTCGAGAAAACTCTGAGTTCAAAGCCCTTGAAAAGTTAGACCCGGACTGCACAACTGTGATGGACAAAATCGCCGAGGAAGCAAATGGTGTGTGGCTCTGGGTCTACTTGGTTACAAGAGACATTATACGTGCCGCCAACCGGAATGAAGGGCCGCGGAAATTCCACGAGATCGTCGCAGGGTTTCCTCGCAAATTAGAGGAATATTTTGCGCTTATAATAAGCCGAGTCAATCCCGTTAATCGCAAGGAGATGGCCAGAGCATTCCTTGTCACCATTTACGAGGTACAACCTTTACCACTTTATGCATTCTATCTTCTCAATAAAGAGGAGGAAAATGCAGAATATGCGAGTGAAGAACAAGTCTGTAGTCTTTCTGAATCCGAGGTCCGAAAGATCGGTCAGACTTGGAAAGCAAGGACCCATAATAGATGCAGTGACCTTCTTGTGGACGAAGGAGAGCATCCTGTCTTCTTGATCCAGCCGGTAGACTTTCTCCACCGGACAGTTCGTGATTTCTTCGAGATTGGTTCCAAGACAAACTCGAAGAAGAGCTAAAAGAATCCTTCATCCCCCCAATTTCTCTTTGTCGGATAATGCTCTTCTTCCTGAAGAAGCAGCCGCGGGGCCATCTTTCATCTCTGAGGCACTATAATCGCATGATTGCGCTCATTAATAAACTCCTTTATTACGCCCGAGAGGCTAAAAAGCATCCCTACTGTCGACATTCCGAAGTATCACCAGTAGAAGATATCTTGGATACCGCCGACCGGGTAAATAGTTCCTTGATGCAGAAGGTCATAAAAAATCACTAGACCCATATGAGAGATCCCCCCAGATCTCGAGGGCTAGATAAGTACCACGAGAGAGGTAACTGCAACTTTCTTGCCCTGGCCATCCAAGCACGCCTCTTCAAGTACATCAGATCAAAGCTTAAAGCTGACCCTCGCCGGCTGGCGAAGCCAGGGCGGCCACTTTTGGACTATACCCTCCGTCCCCGGCGGGTAACGCCGCTGGCACTGCCCTATTACTCGCGCAGGGATGAGCCTAACATTGAGCCGGAAATCATTTCCTTGCTTCTCAGCCTTGGTGCCAAACCCAATCAGGTGGTGCACTCTCACGAAGATCGCACCGTTTGGGCATTATTCTTGATCTCTTGTTGGGAGTCCGCTAAACGTGGTGAGGCCACAGAGGTATCAAAAAAGACATGGTATGAAGTTAGCGAGATGATGATAAAGCATGGATCAAGCCGCGATTGCTTCAATAGCATCGAGGGACAGGAATTAAGCATCGATGATGTTCTCAACACAATTTTCGGTGAGGACCAGGCATCAAACTTGCTGGAACAGATTAACGACCAGATGCTCCACAAAGGGAATCCTTGGAGCGGTTGGATTTCGTCTTTTTTCTGACGCATAGTACTTCTCGAATAGATTTAAATATATATTCAATTCAAGAAGTATTAATATTTAGGATATACTTCTAATATTAACGAAAGTGAGAAGCGAGATGGTTACCCTCGCCAACGGCCATTCTCACCCCCTTGGGCTCTTCGTACATATACTATCTACTGGCTTGCGAAGGCACACCTCTATCAGATGGTCTCAAGATAGTACAGTGAGTCCTATTTAATGAGCTTACTACGCAATACTGGCAAGTCTTGCTGGAAGGGAATTGGGACAAATTATGATGTCACTACTCTAGTTCCAAGGAATGGTTGTGTGAAGCGGCAGCATCAGGTTTCACTAAGTATTATTCTATCAAATCTAGGTGTGTAGTACTAACCAGTATGCTCATAGTCCTCTTGTACTTTCTAACTTCCTATAATTCGCTTTACTCTTAAAACAAACTATTCCGGATAAAAAAAGAAGATAAAAAAGAAACACCTTGGTCTACCTATGTAGCTCAAAGGAATTCTCCTATCTACACTCTAATTTGCTTGACTATACTCTAAATTTATTGGCTATACTCTAAATTTCTTTATTTTCTCGCCTGTTATAAGACTGAATAAATTTCTAGATTACATTTTGCCGCGATCAATATCAGTGGTATGCGTCTCTAGGTACCTTATTCATTGTGTGGAGATGCCGGGAAGCATCGAGGCCGAGGGTCGTTGTTTTGCTTCGCGGGGGAGGACTTTTCTAATTCAAGGTCGAGGTTATCTGGGAAATCCGGCTGCCTAATATGAAGTACAAGTCGCTGGCTCGATTCCTCTGAATAATCATACCTATGCCATTGGGAAATCAATGGAGACACATACCTCCATTGCAAGAAAGAAGGCAAGTACCTACTCCTGTACGCGACTGCCTTCTAACTGCCCGTCACGTGAACTCGCCTGGCAGCCTTCGTTGTGCCTGCATTTGTTTACTTTGTTGCCTCAGGCTCCTACTTATCTTCTCTGCCCTCACGTTGGAAAACCTAGGAGCAGCAGTCCGTTCTTCTTCCTGCGTCATCGCTCGCTACACCTCTCCAAGTTGCCTTCCTTTGATCAGATCCTCGAGTTCTCTTCTCAGTCATGGCCCCAAGCGGAGGACAGGAGGAGGCAACGCGAGGACTCCCACTTCTTCCTACCCTCGTGCTGCATCGAATCTGTACCTTTCTTTGCACCCACTGCGAGCCGGCGCTTCCTGAACTCGAAGGGTCCCAAGACGAATGTCAAGGCCAGACCACGTTGAGAAATCTTTGCCATGCCTCTCGACTCCTCCGATTTGTTGCCGAGCCGATCCTCTATCATCGCGCACAGTTCAAATATCTAGCAATGCCTGGGGTTCCCGATCACTTCGCCAGCTCCTCACTCCGCTTTATCCAAGAAATTCACGACCGCCCACAACTTCGAAATTATGTCAAGGTTTTAGATGTGCGGGACAGTGCTCGTCGACACCGTAATTCCGACATCGATTTCAAATATTATTCTCGCCACGAGTGGTCAAATCGGCGACCGGTGACAAGTCGTAACTTGGATCAAATCAACCATCTTGCTGCTCCTTTCGGAATCACGTGCGTCGCTGATAATTTCGTTCCGGATCGCCTGGTGGAAACGTTTGTTCAACTGATGCTGGTCTTCCTCCCTGGTTTGACTGAGCTAAAGTTGACGGCAGAAGGATGCTGGAAATTCCGCCTATTGTCAGATGCTCTCCAGAGAAACAACACAAAGATACCGGATGCAGTTCTTTCCAAAGTTCGCAAACTTCGTCTTCACTTTGAAGTCCCGTCATGCCCATGCTATGAGTGCCATGGATCAGATGTAAGATTATTCGAAAGAGGTGCCGAGAAGCTCCTGCTTCAAGCTACCATGAGAAATCTACAAACCCTCGTCTGCTCCGCTGCAGCCCTTAAAAACGCGCCTGATTCACCTCTCCTGGAGTCGTTGAGAGTAGACATAACGGGCGACTGGCCTTTTCACAACACATTCCTGGCCCAACTCAAGTGCCTACGCCAGTTTTATTGCACCTTTTCCAGCAAGGATGGTCCTGTGCCAGATGCTGTTATGAAAGCGATTACACCTACAGCCCAATCCCTCGAAATGTTGAAAGTTTGCTTTACGGCCCCGTGGTTCCGTGAGCCTTCTGGGTGGCATAGTCCCGAGTGGGAACCTGTCGGATCGGAAACTCTCGAGGATCGTCTTGATCTCATGCTTATATCCCTTGGAGATTTCACCCAACTCAAATGTCTTTCTATCGCGGCCGAGATGATCTTCTCCCACACAACAGACAGACTTTATACACATTTGGTACGTCGACTTGAAGGGCTTGCCGGTTGGCTCCCAAACTCTCTAGAAGTTCTCGATATCAGCACGACCGGAATTGGGGGAGAGGTAGATAGGATTCTAGACGGACTGATGGATGCGTTGAGCAGAAATGCTCCCCGCAGCCTGCACAAGATCTTAATCTCCTCTAATTGGGCAAGGTTCAAAATACTCCGCCTAGAGGGATCGCGAGGTTCACCTCAATGGTCAGTTAGTAGAACTTTTGGACCGCGTGCTGGTATTCCGGAATAGAATACGACCTAAAATCCGGATGAGGGTGAATTTAATTGGTAGAAGATTGCTTGATGGATGGTTAGTGTGGAATGATAATGATGTACGTATGTTAGAGACAGAAAGAATCACATGGAAATGAAAAATCTAGAACGCTTTTCACATCAAATACGACCTTTCTTGCGCCATTTGACATGTCTGTATCTGAACCGGTTGGAGGGCAGAGAGCTTCGGACGCTCTACCGGTGCCAGTAATATTTTCACCATATCAGTTGCACCAAAAACGTCAGAGACCATGAGCCTTTGCATTAGAACCCACGTTTTCTAGCTCTCAAGGTTGGCATCGTGGCATTCTACCGTCCAGCAGTTCATCGCTGTGTGTCTTCACCAAGGACAACGTGAAACACTGTAGCTTCGCTTAGCGTCCCCTGTGCTCTCTACGTTCTGGAGCAATGAATCTTGATCGACCAGGACCCGCGACAGACGGAGGTTGTGAATCGCGTCGCTGTGGGAGTGGATGATGTCCTTTTGTAGTTGGTCATACCTGACCTGTATATGGACAGCTTTCTCCCGGGATGCTACCATATCATCAAGGCGCATGTGCAGTGGCATGTGAGGAAGGCTTCGCGTTCTTTACTACCTCGGCTACCCTCTTCCTTGTGATGAATTGAGCCCATTCCAGAGCACCAGATCCTCTAGCTTGAGCATCCTCAGCGCGTCCTGACTGGCAGCTTGGTAGTGAGCTCTATCCGATATCCATTGAAGCATCAGCGCCATATCCAGACGCTACAGCGCGCCAGTCAGACCATAGGTGCCCAGGCGTCAATGATGGAACATACCGCCCTGTTACAATGATGCCATGGCTCGAAGATGGAATTCTGTAGCCGAGGGAGACTACCTTATGGTTATGCGCCATACTCCGAGCAATAGTATCCAAGACAATAAGCTAATGATCATTTGTAGATTTCTAAATCCTTGGTTTCCTTGGGCGAGACGCAGCTTAATTACAGGGAAGGAGCATGGCCTGTAGTAAATTCCGTGTGGGGTAAATCACAATCCCCCAACTTCACCGGTTTGTCATCATTTGCCATCTTTGCATCATCACTATGCACCGTCTCCGGTAGGCCATCTATCCAGAGGAAGGGCCGTACTGTTTCTTCCAGCCACGATTCCATCAATTAATCATTCCAGGGGGTCAAAGGTATTGATTGGGTCTTGATCTCCCCCTCGCCATGCATCCCGATGACGGGTCGCGGCCGACCGGCATGCTCAGCCTCTCCGTCGAACTTTTAGACCAGATTTTTCGGTGCTTCGACCACTCTTTCGTTGACCGAGGCGGGATCGACCTAGATCTCATTCATGAACAGTCGGCAGAAGATCGCCGAACAATCCAGCACCTGCGGCTAGTGTGCCGTCTTTTCCACAATGTGGCATCACCAATATTGTTCACGGTGATGAGAATCTCTCTCGACAAGCAATCCCTGGATCGTGCTCAATGTATTGTACAGCATCCCATCTTCGGAGCAAGTGTCAGGGGCATCCAAGTCTACCTAGAATATCGCCCGGCGTCGCTGGCCTCGGAGATGAGGGAGTATGTTGAGTTCCAGAAACGATCGTTGGGCGACTACGTCAATTATCGGACGCCATCTGACGTTCGGAGTGGACACGTCCGGTCGTCCAACGGGCGTTTTATCAAGGTTGATGGAGACCAGGAAAAAAGAGATGAAGATGATAACTTTGACATCTGGGCTCCAGGAGATGAAACCAAGGCATTTCTAAACTTTCGAGCCTTCATCGCGGCCTGCGACCGATTCATCAAACACCAGGGGAACATTTCTGGATCCGGGAGGTTGTTTGCTGTCAATGAAGGGCTGGTTGATCAGTACATACAGCTGATCTTGCGATCCTTTTCTGAATACTCCAAACGTTACGACGAGCAGATGGAGCTCATCATAAGCAAGTCTTTTGTCGACACTGTCGCCCAGATAGTATCCCGCTTGGGACGTCCCATCACGCTGCAAGTTGATGATGGTGAACAATCCCACCAGAAGCTGCCCGTACGCGGCCGTCTTGCGATATGCCTCGACGACGAAGCGCTTTTCCGCTTCTTGGTGGCGCCGCACAAATGGACAGATGCCGATAAAGCTGGAGGACCCAAGCTAATTACCCCAGCGCGGGTCGTCCCTGACTTGTCTGTTGCTATCAATAAAGCTGGAGGTGTGGTCTCTCGATATGAGCTCTCGTGCTTGCCCGACCCTCATCATTTCGATACGGAATCCTCCAAAGAATCAGACATGAGTGATCGTGACGCATGGGGTAATCTCCGGGAATCTTTTCGGGGGCTTAAGGTTCTTAGACTGAAGGGGATGGCATTAAAGGCGCTCAGACTCAAGGGGACATCTTTTATTCAACTTCTTGTCCAACGTCGACCACCGCTGGCACGGGACAAGAGATACCTGGAGAAGTATTTGCAGACGATCCTATCCGGTCAATTTCTGGAAGAAGTTGTATTAGACTTCTCACTACTCACCGGGCTTACATATGAGAATGGGGCAATCATCTGGTGTCCACTGGGGACCATCCTCCAAACCAGCCGCCCACAAGCCATCAAGATTACGATACGATGCATGTCCCTATCACAGATAGAATTGGAAGACTTCTTCCAATCAATGGATCCAAAGACGGAAAGTCTTTGTTTGCAGGGTCTCAATCTGGTAGACGGAAGCTGGATACGTCCGCTGGCTATCTTGAAAGAGAGGGTAGCGCCAAGATGTGTGCAGGGGACATTCTCTTTAGTCCTTAAAGATTTGACCGGTGCTGAACTAGGGCCGATGAAAAGAATGACAACAGGAGCGCCTCCTTTGAAGATTAACGAGCGCGAGGATGTTGGCATACTGGAGGTAGTCACTCGATATGTCCGAGGTGATGGAGTTACAGAGAATCCCCTACAAGCCGAAGCAGATCTTTCGGACTGAATCGAAGATTTGATGATTGATTAGGTATATGAGATTATGATGGAACTATTAAGATAACCTTTTGTAGTCAGCAGACTTGTATGCGGAAGTGCATCTGTTTGGCTTTTCCGGGGTGATGAGTTAACCCAGGATTCTCTTGAACTCTGCATCCAAGCCCTGCCATACTTTGTCTACGGCACCCGCATTCCGGTATTTGGCAAGACCACTGAACGAATTAGAGCACACCTCACTTCTTTCATCGACAATGTAGACACCACTTCCCTGCACCCCGTCGCTCCCCTTTGCCACTCCAAGCTGTCCCTCAAGGGTCACCCCGAGCGCACCATCCCCATATTTGGGAGGAAACTGCGCGCTCACACATAGAAAAGTATGTCTCTCACCCGTCTCCTCAGGACTGATCCACGAGTTTCGGTATCTCCACTGGAAGATATACTTGAGGGGTCGCAGCATCAGTCCAGATTCCTTTCTGATCAGGTTCGTCATCACCGGACCGGGGAAGCTATGCACGAACGACACCTCGGGCGCTTGTCTCGCCAGTCCTTCAAGGCCGAGCGTCATGGTGGTGGCGGCATGCTCTCGCCCGTGGGCGGGGTTGACCCTACGAGCTGGAATATCATCGAGATACAGCTTTCCCTCTTTGCCACCTGCCATCACGGATACGACCCGACGGAGGGATTGGCCTTTGCGGAGGAGAGGCAAGAGGTTCTGCGCCATCCGCAATCGTCCCATAATGCCCACTGCCGTAACGTGTGGGAGGCCCTCCTCAGTGGCTGTAGGACATGCGCGGTCAGCATTTATCTCATTCTGTAGGTTTCGTACACACTGGCATACGAAATCATGGCCACCTACTAGCAAGTTTCAACGCACCCTGGCTCATGAGTAGAATATTGATGCTCTCCTCCTGCTGCTTAATTTTCTCGCAGGCCTGATCCACGTTCTTGATGGAGCTGAGGTCGGCTTGGACGAAAATATACTCCCCTTCTGCATTTTTCTCCTTCAGCTGGTTTGTCAATAAATCCGCTTGCTCCTGTGAGCGACCGAGAAAGTAAATCTTGGGTCGGATGGCGTGCTCGGCGAAGTGAAGAAGGGTGAAGCTTCCGATACCTGCTGTCGCTCCCGCAAAGACGGCGACAAGGTTAGGAATGACCAGCTTGGAATTGGTGCTCTTCACATCATCGAGAGAAACCATGGTCAATTGATGTCTTCACTTTGACCTCTTGAACGAGAAAGAGAATATGTCCTAGGACGGATTACATTGCAATACGGGAAGCAGCAGTATGGCATCATCATACTTGTTCATATTTATACCTGTTTTTACGCTCTCGCGGGGATATCTATCTCGCCGACATCAACATACCCTGGCATCTTCTTTGTGTTAACCGCAGTAGGGGTCAGTTCTGGGATGTCCGCGTAGGTATTGCGGACTGGCTGAGCGGAGGGGTTGCGGAGTTTCGACTTCAGCAGCCACCGATTCGGCTTGATCCGTAGCCGACACGGAGAAGACGCCTACCGACCTCCGATGAGCCAGCTGGCTGGGCTGAATTGAACTATTATCTTGGCCGTGTCTACCGGTATGCTGGCAAAAGCTTCTGAAGCAAACAAGCCTCAGCTCCGTTTTCCCAGCAATCCGCGGTTATCCTCACGGACCCAACGTAGCCTCATAAGACTGCGCCCACACATTTACTAACATCATGGCTGCCACACGTATGCTAGGATGAGGAACATCTTGCATGAAACGAATATTCGTGGAATCCTACCATTGCTCAGATGCGATTGCACGAGATGATCATTTTCCAAGGAACTGGGGCAGATCAAATGAGGGAAGGAGATCTGATTTAAATGCACACTATTAATCACAGTATCACAAGTCTTGAATAGAGAGCGGAAGAAAAGAATCAGATTAGAACCTCACGCTATCTCCAAACAAATTTTCTCGTACAAGATATCAGCGCAAATAGCTGACCCCTGATTAAAGGGTAACCTTGGTGCCCTTGATCTCAACAGTACCGCTGAAGGTGATCCGTGATGCCTTGCTACTGCCCTGGCGCCCGTGGAAGACGACATTCTTGCCATTAGGATCAATGTCGAAGCCTCCAGGGCCGATAGCCTTGTACTTCTCGTTGTTCTTGCTGCCCGTGGCAATCAACACGCCTCCCCACTTGAACGGCCCCGTCACCGCGTCGGCGTAGGCGTACTCGGTGTGGTACTTGCTGTTGGCGTAGCAGTGCGAGCTGTAGAAGAGGAAGAACTTGCCCTCCTTCGACTTGTACAGGGCCGGGTTCTCCGTGACGCCGTCGTCGTCGTAGGTCTCGCCGCTGGCGAACTTCTTGGGCGCGTTGGGGTTGTTGTCGCGGTTGTCCCAGATGGTCGTGGGCGAGCCGACCACGGACAGCCCGTCGGCCGTCATCTTCTGGACTTTGAGGGGCGTCGGCTTGTACTTGGGGCCGGTGGGCGCGGAGCCGCCCTTGCAGGTCGTCGCGCCGCCGAGGCCGTTGCCGTCAACCTTCCACGTGAGCCAGCGGTCCTTGCCGTCGAAGAAGCCGGCCGCATCGATGACGCCGCCGTTGTCGTGGTCGCACACGAGGGCCTTGTCGTAGGGCTCGAAGCCCCCGGCGGAGGTTTTCGAGGTGGCGGCTCCGATGCAGCGCTTGCCGTCCTTGTGCACGCCGCTGAAGTACAGGACGTATGAGCCGTCCGACTGTCGGGCTTGGTCAGTTCACGAGGCCAGTGAGAGTCGCTCGGGAGGGGTTTTTAACGTACAAGCTTGACTACGTCAGGCGCCCAAAGGCCTGCTGTCGTGGCCCACGAAGGTCGCTTCTTTAATGCGTCGCCCACGTATGTGAAGTTGAAGCCATCTTGGGCAGTGGCGTAGGGGATGTTGTGTCCGTTGCTTGTGCCATAGGCTTTCCAGGAGCCTTCGCCGTAGATGAGGGTGGGGTCGGCAAAGCTCTTTCCTTCCATCTTGCCGAGGACCGCGCGAGTAGAGAGTTTGGCATCGGTAAAGATCGGGGTGATGTTGGACAGAGACACCTCGACGGTGTCGGTGTTAGCCTCAGCGGTAGGAAGAGCAAAGCTTGCCCCTACAAGGAGCGAGCTGATGTAAAGGCCCTTCATAATAAAGAGGAAGAGCGAAAATAATAGAAATATACTTAAATAAAGAGATACCCGAAATCGAGAAAAGAAAATAAAAGAGCGTCAGGTGTGTCTGATGAGAACCAAGTCATGCCAAATCATTTCGAGGGGCGTGGAAGCCCTTTATGCAGGTACGGAATGAGCAAGTATCGCAAAGGGATAGCTATAATTGGGATGGTAATAGCTTAGCGATCATTGCTAAGTTCCAAAATAGCTCATATCTCATTCGGCAATACCCTTAATGGCATTGCAGTGTTTCGTTTAGAGTGGAAGGGAACCCTGCCAGATAGACCGACATGAGTTCGGCAATGTCCCTGTTCGGAAAGCACTAGGCCTGCTTTTGTAGTTGTCGCGTGCATTGCCTGATCCGGGGCAAGGGGAAGGACTTTGGTGTTGGAGAGGGGCGTCGATCAACGTAATATAAGATTAGTTGCTCGCCATGTCAGCGTGGTGGAATTGGAAAATGGCAACAATATACTTCTGTGCTATGAGAAGCCTACGATAATCCTATAGCATTGAGTCAAATCTAGGCAGTTTGTTCTTAAAAGACCTAGGTGTGGAAGTAATGGCTTCATATTGTGGCCTTTGCTTATTTTCCCTCCCAGTATGCCTAAAGGGACAGCCTTGACATAGCGCTTTTCATATAATCGAACCACGTAGAAAGTTTCATCTTCGCATATTCTTCCTACCAATAATATATCATCAATGACACTGCTTGCTTTGAAGTGATAGAAATGCCCAGATTTAGAAGAACGAGACTTCCTACCAAACTCACTCGTGTTCAAAGTGAACTCGTGACGATATAATCCTCAGCCTGCCTACCTTGGAAGCAGGGTAGGAATTTGGCCAACTCTGCCACATGTGAGCTCTAGCAAATGCCTACTCTAACCGGTGAGAACTATCCAAACTCAGATGCAGAAAGCTACTTAGATTAGCCCATGACATAGCTCGAACATTTCAATTGAGTAACTCGGTCAGACTGATCAGGTCCGAACGTATTTTCATATTCTTCTAGAACTGCAATCATCATCAAAACAAAAATTTAGGTTCCCAACTTTGAGATAACCAGACGCCTAAACGTGAAAACATCATTGGGGAATCTCGTGCTGACCGCTCTGAATACAATTGTAGGACATCCAGAGCCACTGATCCCGATTCCTCTTTATAGCGACAAAACAAAGTCATTGACCGGTTCCCAAAGAAAAATTCATAATACCGTTAAAACCTGTGGTGCCGCCGCGAGCTGAGATAAAGCTTCAATTAACGCGCTCCCCCATGCTGATAATAATAATCTCCTGGAAGTTCCATTGGCGGAGGAGCCCATCTTTGTTGTTGCTGTTGCTCGTTTGGACCAGGAATCGACGCCGTGTACTGCTGGTTGAATTGGTTGTAATAGTCCGGGCCTGTCGGATACTGCCGAGGTGTTGCTTGTTGGTTCATTACCGGGGCTTGTGCATACATCGGATGTGGTTGATAATCAGGCGGATACTGCGGTGGCTCGGGTATCATGGACATTCGTTGCTGTGCAGGACTCTGCGATACTGGGCGATTCTTCTGCGACAGATCATTGGGGTTGAGCGTCTTGAGCCGGCCATCTGGGGCCATCATTGCCTTCAACGCTCCGGAATCAAGCAGCTCGGCCTTCCGAATAATTCTGTCCACCATATCCTTGGACGCTGCTTTCGCTTGCGCTTTGACGAAGCTCACGATACTGATGTTGCACCGGATCTCGATATCCTCGCGAAGGTAGAGCCCATCCGCCGGGATGTCAAGCGAGTCGAACCCAAGCTCACGATGCTCTGGCGGTTCTACACCAGGCTGGTTCCCGGCGATGCGATAGCGAACCCGCATGTCTATGCCGAACGGGGCGTAGATGTGCGTCTGTAGCCCCCACGGCATGTCGTGGAAGCAGCCGTTGAACGTGATCTCCTTGGCCCCGACCTTGCCGGTGCCGGGGATGACCTGTACCCGCTCGTGGATGGCATACCAGGTGCTGTGCATCTCGTCCGGGGACGCATTGTCGGGAGGGCTGATCTTGGTGTGGCCCAGGACCAGCGGGTTGAGTGTAATGACTTCGGAGTGCGAGTGGAGGATGTCGAGGGCCAAACGCCGGGGGATGTAGCTGGGGATTGGCGTCACCACCGTGAAGACCTCCTTCTTTTTGAGTAGCTTGGACATTTTTGCTCCTCTCTCTAAGGTGTTGGATCTCAGGCCAGATATGTGTGCGCGCTGTGAACCGCCGCGACGGGTCGATAGGTGGTAGAATCTGGGGGGAAGCGAGGGGTATTGAACGATCAATGTATGATGGAGAGGAGGGAGATGACGGTAAACGTCATTTATGGGTGATCATGTAAGACTAAGCAGAGGCCGTTGGTTTAGGACACGAGGAGCAGCGGGTATCGAAACCAATCTTGCAGGCCATCATTGCTATTTCCAGCAGGCTAAGGAGCCTGTGCTTACTGGCGCCTGCTGACCGTCCAATCAGTATATTCACAGAGTCCAAGATGACGTTCTAGTTTCGCTCGGCTGCTGCTCAACCGGCGCTTACATCTCTAACCTGAAACGGTTCGGTCGATCATCGCCTCACTGCTGCGGACGAAACACTGCCCCCAAATCCCATCCCGTCGACAATAATGCATATAATTAGACCGGATAGGTCTGCTCGCCGTCAAGACTGCGGACAAACTCAAAGACATCCGCTGTTGTATAACTGGGGATTCGCTGGAGATATCGCCAGTTCTTGGCTTCGCTTGTCTGGCCGACCTTCAGGATCTGCCGCGAGACCCAGATGAGGCCGGGAGAGTTCCGTACCACGCCCAGCCACTTGCGCTGGTCTTCTGGCATTTGCTTCATGGCACTGGCCCAGAGAAAATCCCACCGATCCAACGCGCGGAAGAGAGCGGCGGAATGACTGTCTGGAAACTTCGAGGAGTGAAGATTAAAAATGATTGGCATGAAAGCTATTCGAAAGTTAGTAAAACCTGACCGAGGCTCGCCGTGGGAAGTAAATCACTTACCGCAGCACATCGCGTGTAAGTGATATGGGCTGATTTGGCTGCAAATCAAATGTTGAGGTTCGGCCCAGTCATCGCTCATCAATTCAGACATTTGGTCGACCAGACAATGGGAGTATGCCACGTCGTCTGCTTTCCGTTTGACGAAATCCTCTTCTGTTTCAGCATCCCAGATTCTCGCGCTGCATGGCGGCTGCCCGCGCATTTCTGAGAGCAGCTGCAGAGGGGGATGGTTGGTGGCCAATGTCGCCAGGCAGTCGACGTAGAACGACCACGATGCGAGGCGGATCTTCAGCTCCTTCCGAATAAAGGATGGCCATGATTCATCATCATCGTGTCTGATCTGGGCTAGATGATGATCCCTTATGACCCTGATAAGCTTAGGACTAAACTTGCAAATAAAAGTGCGTCTAATCTCCTGATCTTTCACCCACGTGCCGATGCCAATCATCAATAGTGCTGCCTGGCAGTACTCTAGCAAGTCCTCAGACTCAGAATCGGCATCTATTTGCTTTTGCAATTTGCTGAAAATATAGGGGGCGGAAATGCTGTGGAAGGCTCTTGCTTGGACGGCTGGATCAGGTTCAACGCCAGGCGTGTGCGAATACGCCGCGCCCATCATCGCAACCGAAAGAAGCAAAGGCAGGGGAGCCTTGAGAATGTCGAATGTTGGCCAATGGATGATGGGGAGCTGATAATGCCTCTTGCGCGAGAAAGCTATCACGAACCCTCGCACATTCTCACTTGTGAATAGACTCTGAAAGGACTCGCGCTGGAAGGAGCCACTCAGCTTCGGTTTCCTCAAGGAATATGTTTCCAATTCATAAGAAAGGAGGTCTAGACGACGCTCGAGAGTGTCGCCCGACATGATTGGCGCAGGTGATCCAGGGGCTCCAGGACCAGAGTCATCGTACACGCCATCCAGTTTCAAGTAGGTGTCCAAGAACGGGTCAATGTAGCTGGATAGGAGGAGCGCCGGGTCAATGAAAGCCATAGGTTCTCCTGTATTGCTCTCGGATGACAATCTGGTGGAAGGGCCGCCGACGCTGCTTTCTGGCTGCCGGGCAGCATCCCTCTCATTTACAAACTGCGTCGTCGAATCAAGGTTCCTAAGCAGGAAAGGCAATCTAAGGTCTACATCTCTTCCGGAAGCTGGCTTCTTGGAATCCACGGGTTCGATCAGTGACTGACGATGAGATGGATCGCTGCAAAGCCAATTGTATGAACAACCCATGCTCCTTGAGCTACAGCGCGCACAAGGCTTCTTTCCATCACACTGGACTTTCACCCGGGAGCACTGGGTGCATGCCCGAAGCTTCCGGCCTCGTCTGGCAAGTGGCGGCAGGGGTTGGTTTCCCTTCTGGGGGCAAGTTTTTGCATGCCTTCGGGCTCCGTCTACTCTACCAAACGACTTGTGGCAGAATGGACATTGATGCTGCCGGGTTCCCGGCCTGTGACTCTGGCCAGTGTTGTCTGTGAAAGGTAGCTGGCAGATAGGGCATTCCGAGGTAGCAAGGTAATTTGATGCGGAGGAGACCATCTCTCTACTTGCATACAGCTTCCAACTTACTCAGCTATATCGGGCTATCGGCTGTACAGGTAAACGTAACCACGGACGCGTAGAGAGGAAGAGAATGAAACATGAGTGAATTTCCCGAGGCTCGTCGTGCCAAAACGAAGTACGAAGTGGATCCCGGTGCCGTGGTGGTGGGTCAAACTGGTGGGATATTCCCGATGCCGGGTCCTCCTATAAAGAAGAATCACTGCTCTCTTTCCCGGTCCATTCCATTGGCCAATTGCGCTCGATCTCTATCTGCCAGAATCCCTCAAGAATGGCTCTTGCTGGTCGATTGAAAAGTATGCCGAGTTGTACTGGATCCTACTACCATTGACACCAAGCACTAACACTTAATATCTAGCAAGCCTCAGGGCTCCTGCCCTTTGCCTTCGTGCTATGGCTGGCAAAAGAACTGCCCTCATAGCTCCCTCTTCGATATCTTTTCAACGCCAATTTACCCAATCGTCCTCGTCCTCTCGACCTTCGCCGAACATGGCCCTCTCCACCGAGCAACGACCTACGAGTATAATCGAGCATGTGCTGTAAGCCACTGCCATCCGGGATCGAGAAACAAAGGACAGAAACTGATTGATGCTAGGACAACACTGGATCAGATCGTTGCCTGGGCTCGAAACGGCTCCATGTGGCCCTTAAGTTTCGGCCTCGCCTGCTGCGGTATTGAAATGATGCACGCCTCCATGCCCCGATACGACCAGGATCGGCTCGGTATCATCTTTCGAGCGTCCCCGAGACAGGCCGACGTCATGATCGTTGCCGGGACCGTGACAAACAAGATGGCGACAGCTGTTCGACAGTGCTATGATCAGATGCCGGAACCCCGGTGGGTCATCAGCATGGGGACCTGTGCCAATGGAGGAGGATACTACCACTACAGCTATAGTGTTGTGAGGGGTGTTGATCGCATCTTGCCTGTGGATATCTATGTTCCAGGATGTCCACCTACGGGAGAGGCGCTTCTATACGGGGTCTTCCAATTGCAAAGAAAGATCCGCAAGACGAAGACTACCCGGATGTGGTACAGACGTTGACGGCAGCGTACTAATGTTGACCGGTTATTCAAATAGAGCAATGTATCAAGATCGTTATCAGATTGTGCTTGATGAAAATAGATAGAAGAACAGCTATGAACATCTTAGTCCCTTATAAGAAAGGTGTTTAAATATAAAAGCAAGTTCGCTCATCCTTACACAGGTCAGCGTGCTCTGTGATGTTTAGGGTAGGGAAACATTATACTTCGGCAATTGCCGGGAGTGATGAGATATCCGAAGGCGGGCCGCAACAGGGTACATCAAGGTTGTTTAGCCATATGCATCTCCTCCTTGTCATAATTCTTCGTGTTGGTGGATAATGCGGAAAGGCAACGAGCAGCACGTCCGATTACGAAACCGCGGACAACACTGAGGGCTGTCTTCATTGGTGGAGGCGGAGTTCGGATTTAACCAACTGATTAATCAGCCAATGTGGAGATAAGGCTACTTGACCAATGACAACATTCCGCAACGATTTATTTCTAGATCACTGGAAAATCTCTAGAAAGCTAGACTATACTGGGTCTAGTGTCATGCAACCTGCTCACATACAATCTAGACCTAGTTTGGTGATGGCTTCATGCTCAGGTGTTAATCAAGAACAAGAAGGCTGAATTCAAACTGTATTCGCTTGTTGGCTGGTTGATTAGATTCGGAGTTAGGAGAACGAAACAGGCAGTTGATTTACGCTCAATGAAATCCCAGAATACATATATAAGGGGGGGCCAGTCTCCCTCTACCCTTAGCAGAACCATCAAAACCACCCATCTAAACCAGGCACACACTATTGCTGCCAAGATGACATTTCACCCAGACTCTCTTCCCAGCCTCTCAGGCAAGGTCTATATCGTCACCGGTGGTACCGCTGGCATGTGAGCAACTGACTTCAGACATCCATTTCCGCCATCAATAGCTAACTAGATCCTAGAGGCTACTACACAGTCGCTCGTCTCGCACAACGTGGCGCCCATGTATACCTTTGCGCGCGCTCAGAAGCCAAGGGTCAAAAGGCAATTGAAGGGATACAGTCACTCTACCCCAACTCTAACCTCAGCGTACTGGTTATGGACCACATGTCCTTGCCCACTGTCGTGGCTGCAGCCAAACTTTTCATGACCAAGGAAACAGTGCTGCACGGTCTGGTCAACAACGCAGGCATTATGGCCACACCTTTCGAACTCACGGAGCACGGCTACGAGGCTCACTGGCAGATCAACTATATCGCACACTGGCTGTTTACCTCGCATCTGCTTCCTCTGCTCCTCGAAACCTCCAAGACTCTTCCTGCCGGTAGTGTACGCATCGTCAACCTCACATCCGGGGGTCATATGTCTGCGCCAAAACCCGGGATTGACTTTGAAGATACTTCGCTGGCGAAAGCAGCCCCGATAACCCAATATGGCCAATCCAAGCTGGCCAACATTCTGCACGCCAAAACGCTCAACAAACGCTACGGGCCTGGGTCAAGCAGCGCCAAAAATGGAAAGGGGGAGATTTGGACCTCTTCAGTACATCCCGGAATTGTAGAGTCGGAGCTGGATGACCGGGCCCTTGAGATGCCCTGGTTTATGACCATCGCCTCCGGCATCGCCCAAGCCATCGGGGCAAGATGGCCGACTGACAAGGGCGCGTGGACCCCCGTGTTTTGCGCCACGAGCCCTGAGATGAAGCCAGAACAGAGCGGAGAGTACTTCGAGAGAATCGCCAAGACGGGAGGCATGCTGCAGAGCGCGAAGTCCAAGGATATGGAACTAGCTGAGAAGCTGGAACGTTGGGTTGAGGCGGAGATGAAGAAGCAGGGATATATCTAAGATGGGTGCGCTCTTGGTCACCAATCCATGATTTCGGACAGTTTCTTCTTGATGTTAATGTATTCATTTCCCATCATAATTATTTCTTATTCTCCTCGCTAGCTCACTTGTCATTTATAAAGGATTTCTTTTTCTTTTTTGAAATATACATTTCACAGCTGCTTGATCATCAGTATGTCCCTTGCGTAGCGAATGCGGGAGAGGTATTGTTCACCATTAAGGAATACCTAATTGTCAATGCTTTCTAATTGTATTCCATGTAAACCTGAAAGTGGATTCTGGCCTCATTTAATAATCGCAGTATTTCGAAGTGTGTGAAGTGCTATGTTCTCAAATAAGAGTGAAAATCGGATGAAGCTACGATTTCTCAACGAGGACTTTAGAAAACAGTCGCTTTAAGGCAGTCCTATTAGGTGCAAAAAGTATTCAAGGATCGTCGTTTTCAACGGAGAAGGCGGCCGTGATATTATTACACAGGGAGGCAAGCCTGTTAGGGGAGGGCAAGTGATGAATTACGAGCCCTTGGATGCCACCGTCCTTGTCACATAGCAGGCTGTGGACGGCGAAGCAGAAAGATGTGAGGCAATGTCTACAAGGTCGGATTTCGTGACTTCGAGGGGTAGTACACTTCGCGGTATTGCCGATAATCAACAGCCACCTTTTGGCTCTTCCTATTTTAAGCCGACGACCGAGATAGCTTAGACAAACCGGAAAAGAATAGCCATGCCCGCAATTCAAGCCCATGTGTTTCAAGTCGTCCTTCAGAATTATGTTTCACTTGAACTAACACCACCCGGGAGGAGTTCTAGCTGGAACAAGCGTTGCCTCGCCAGTCTAACGAGCTGCATGCTGAGATAATTCCAAGATCAACTTCCAATCAAATGCTCGCATTCCCTTGATCCCTTTTGGGTAGCCTGTCCAATTTGGTCAAGATGTGTAAGTGCAGATCCGAAAACTGTTGCAGCAATGTCTGTACAAAGTATAGCTTCTTTCCCACGATGGAATTTCATTTCAAGCCTAGAGATGTCATTCATAAACCGGCATTTATAGGCGGCAGGCAGAAACCATCTCGGCGTATGCCAGCTGCCTATGCTGTGTTGCAAGAAGGCAATGATTCTAAAGGACCTCCTCTCTCTGAGAAAAGCCTAGTATACCCGATATGACATGTCTGAGTAAGGCACATGAAACTGTTCCGGTATAATTAGTTCTCTTTTCTCGAAACTGGTTGAAGTCGCGGATACACACGCAACGGTGGCGGAATTGAGGATCATCTGAGCGTAACGGTACGCAGCTGCTCGTAAACCCAAGGTGCTCGGCACCATTATTCCCTTACAAGGCCTGACGAACTGTGCCGTGATACATGCCGTCACGGTGGGGTCATTCCCTAGTAGTATCGCAATGTGTACCCCCGTAGCATTACTGGCAACCAAGATGATTTAACAGTAAGCTTGGCATGGAACTGGGACGACGACTCTCTCAAAGGAGGCCTCTCGGGATAACAGCTTCGCTCAAATCCCATCCACATCTTAGATAATATTCGATCTAAACCTATTAGAAGATGATATGAAGGCTGAGATAAATGGATGAATCCAAGCTTGAAAGACATCCATATCCCACTCATAAGCCAGGGAAAACGAGGTGGCCTTAGTCGCTATAATACAGGTAGTTCGAAGTCATCGTGTTGACTTTAAGTATCCTTTATATAGACACGAGCTTCGAACCAAGTTTCTACAGCTTCCCCGAACAATAACTGTTCTGTCTCTGCTTACGAGAGATCTTTATGAGACCCATAATACCTGCATATCTCTCCATAAAATTAAAAAGCGGAGAGTTTATGAGCTTAATCAGTTATGCAGCAGGAATGGCACTTCTTTCGTCCGTACTTTGATAATAAAGACATTAGTCAGGCCTCATTATCCACCTATCTAGGTTGCTTTGACCATGCATTCTCTGACACAATATCGTCAAATTCAGTAACTAGCTGTCCTAAGGTTACCCTCAAAAAACCTTGATTCCTCGGAACTCGCATGAAAACCCTAGTTTGACATGCGAGGAAGGCTACTATCTCGCAATAAGCCTGGGGTCGGCACAACCCCGATCCCGTTGATATCGAAAAATTGGGTGTGATTGCACCTGAAGTGCTTGTATCGGCTGACTTGATTACCCGTGTCAAGTAAACTACCACCTGGATTGTCAGCCTGCCCCCTGAAGGGATCGCCACTGTTAACATCCTTATGGGTAATAGGGCGTGATTTAAAGTCTCCTACTTGGCGATCCCCTAGTTAAGAATATGCACGATTGATTGGTTAGCGCTGTAGTATCAATCCATGCTGACGGTGAACAGATGTGTGCATTGCTTATGATTTGAGGAGAGAAATGGCAAAGTGCATACACAGTTGCCTCCAATCTGGGGGTGCCTCAACGAATTACTATCAGGCTATTGGGTCTAGTAAATATGAATACCACTGCTCCTATACCCGGTTGTCCCCCCTTTCCTTCTTCTGGGATGCGCCACAAAGGTTATTCAATGTGATACAGTAGGCTAATCTTCTTAGTCAATTGCATCTTGAATTACAATCCGTGATACGCCCGGCTACACCTTCCAGAATCCGTCTGAGACTGAACCGGTATAGTGTAACCACACCTGAAGGAGTAACAGGAGTGATTCCTCGGACGGAAACTGAAGGCCGGTGTCTGGGGATATTGGTTGGGAGCCTACCCACCAAGTAAGTGTTGATCTCCCCCACCGAGCACTTGGTCAACAGGAGGCAATACACATTTCCTTCTTTCATTTTACCGTGGTGAAGGTCCCTAACGCGACTCATGTTCCAGACTATAACTTCAATTAACCATTTTAGCAAGCGAGAAACCAACGCTTGCCAGACCAACTCTCATTATCTTGAAAGTCGCTAGAAGAGAACCTCTGTTGAGATACAACCATCAAAAAACATGGCTGGAACCACTGAGAGAATGCCAATTGCTATATGTGGAGCGGGCGTACGATCCACTGGCGCCATTGCATTGTTCAAAAAATCCACGAGTTCCCTTGCGGATAATGTGAATCAGACAGAGGCAGCCGGGCGTCATAGCGCCACCGGTGAGACTTGTGAAACCAAAGGTGAGTCCACCGACGATAATGCCGGCGGCTATTTTGACCTCTTCTTAAACCAGGGCTCTAATGTCGATTGA